ACTGCATTTTAGTTGGTCTGATACTGCTTCTTGATGCTAGCTGCTGTTGTACTGCTGGCAAGGGTTTGTCCCTAATGGTGATTGCTGTTCTGTGTCAGTGTGTTTGGTGGTCACAGGGCTGATCTCCAGATCTCCATTTCCTTCATGCCCAGTGCTCAAAGCAGAGCATGGGAGACCTTGTGCGAAGTAGTGCTGGGGTTTGCCCTTCAGGAACGCTTCCTCCTGTGCACCTGAAAAAAAGATGGTAAACTGCAGCCAGTTAAGATGCTTCCTTTTGAGTCCTACAAAGCTGCAGTGTTTAGGTAGTGCTCAGTCATCCTGTGAATCTTACGGTCTTGCATTTGAGAAAAACCTGCAGCTTGGATTTCCCTAAGCAAACTTTCCATTTTGCTGGGACAAGTTGCTGTTTTTAAAGGCTATTTCATGACCATTGCTAGCAGAATGCCAGATTTCTGGTACAGAGGATTTCCAGATTTCTCTGTCACTTCTTCTGTGTTATCTCACTTCTCAAAGTATAGCAATTCAAAGCTTACTGCAAATAGTTCTGCCTGCAACAGCAGATTACAAATACATCAATGATATGAGAGGAATGTGATAATTTACTTATTTGTTAATAGCATCTTGCCTCCTAGGATCTTAAAGTGCTTTTAAAACTTCAGTGAAAACTCTGAGTCTCCTTGTTCCTTGTTGCTTTTATTCAAAAGCAGGGAAAACTGAGGCTCCATGGGTGGAATTTGGCTCTGTTTGGAAATGCTGCAGTAGCTGGTCAGGTGCCTGTGGTCCTAGTTTGAGAAACACAGAGCACCTGCAGATCTAGCTAATTGTTGGAAGAAACCTGGTTTCTGAGCAACACTGGAAAATGGTGTCCAGTGCCTGAGGCCGAAAACATTGGCTGGGATGACATTCCCATCCTGTCATAGTGAATCCGTGGTGAGCCAAGACTGAAAACCACAGCAATGCTGGAGCCCCCTCTGAAATCCATCCACAAGGTGTTTTGTGGGATTCATACAAAGTATTCCCTCCTTCTCCCTAGCTTGCACCATCTTGAAATGGTCCCTATCCTTATGCAGGGCCAGGACTTCTCAGGTCAAGGGCAGACCAAGGAGCCTAGCCGTGGTTGCTTCTTAATCTTTTAAATGCCAGATCCATGCCTGCTGCCTGGTGTGGTTTGCCTCCAGACAGCAGCTGACAGATCACACCATCTCTGATCCACCCTGAGATTTGGGAGCTGTGGCGGGGTCCCGACTCCTACCCTGCTAAATCTGCTCCATTAATAGCTATCAAAGAGCCTGAAGTTTCCATCCGAACTTTATCTGGCTTTGCAGTGAGCTGGAGGATTAAAGACTGTCGCAGGGGAAGGGAGGGAGCAGCCGTGGCTCACCCGGAATAGCCTGACCTATGACGGCACGTACCAGCCTGGGGAGGGGAGTTGTCCTGTGAGCTCACGGGTTATTAACAGTGAACACAGACATGCCTGCAGTCAGCAGCACGCCCAGGGCCATCTGCTCCATCCCTGGCTGGTTTAGGGGGTCCAGAGGGACTCGTTAGTACGGCTTGCCTCTATGGCTCTTTGATGGGAGAGCTGGGAGCAGGCTTGAGGACCAGCCTTATGAAGCCATTGTTTTATGCTGCTCAAATGACTTAGGGTTTGACCTTTGGGCTGTTTGTATGGGGTAGATCTGTTTTTGAGGGAGAGTGGTATGAGAAGATAACCCCTGCCCTGCTGCAGCCCAGGGCTGTTGTCTCTTTGCTGTGTCATAGCAAGTAATAAAGGGATCAGGGGGCTGTATGGCTGGGCCTTGCCTATAGGGCCAGCAGGTGTGGGGCAGAAGCCTTCAGTACCAGATGGTGGAATAGTGTAGGAAGCAAGAGCAGGTTTTTTGGTGTAGCCAGGGATTCACTTCTCACAGCCTTTCTCTTGTAACTGGTTTTGTTTTCCTTGCCTTGTTCTTCTGCTGGTGTCCCCAAGTCTTCTGTTTCACCTCCCCCATGTCACCTCTGTGGAAAAATGCTGGGTTTCTTCTTACTTCCTCCCCCCTCATTCAGAGCTGCTCCTCAGCTGAGTATTGCTGTTGCACCAGGAGTTTTTTCCTTAGAGAGAGGCTGTGAGTTAGGGCCCTTTCCAGTGCCCAGCGTTTTGCAGGACTTGTGCAGAGCACCTCAGCGTAGTGGAACAAGATCTTCCCAGCTGGCCGGATGACCCCAGACTCAGTGTGCATGTCCCCCAAGGAGCAGTGGAACTGCAGATTAATTTATTGGACATGTGGGAAGCAGGCACGTGGCTGCTGCAATGAATAGTCTGTGGGTGCTGCTCAGTGTTTTACACCAGGAAGTACTGAGGCTGTTCTAAACCTTTGACCCTGGTGACATACTCCAGATTCCTCCCAATTAAATGGTCTCCTTCCCTGCCTTCCAGGCCTGAAAACATCATGTCTGCTGCCTAGCCAGACAGATGCATTGCTCCATAAAAAGCTCCTTTATATCCCCAATAATTCTATTGATCTGCACTTTGGGAACATCATTCTGCCTTGGAATTTGCAGCTTGTGTACTTTGTTATCAGTGATGGGCACTACTGGTGTGATGGCTCTTTGGACATCTAGGAAGTCACCCAGCAGGTGGGAAATCTGTGCTCCATAGATCTGGTAGCCTAGGGCCTGAACACAGGGCCTTGAGCAGGGTCCTTTCTGGCAGAGGTTCACCATACCACCTGATGCGAAAGATGAGGCCATACTGAATGCTTCCCTCCTGCTGGCGGGGCAGAGGAATGTGTGTAGCCTCAGCAGCAGTGTTGCTGTGGCATGTGCTCCTCTTCAATGGAGCAGAAGAGCAAAGGAGGCACCAGTAGCTGGTGTACAGGACTCTGCCTGTCCAACCAATGTTGCTGCTTCTGCTCTCCAACAAGCTCTTATGTGCCAAGGGTTTAAGAGGAAGAAGGGAATATTCATGCTGTGTCCTGCTGCATAGACAGGTTTACCAGACATGTTAGGTGCTTGTAGCTGTAGTGCTTGTTGCTGTCACTTGAGCCGTAGGCAAGTTGTGCTTCTAACTCTGGAGGTTTTTGGTTCAGCCCTTGGTCACAAAGAAGGCAGTCTTCATCTGTATGTGTCCTTTCCCCTCCTTTTGCTGACACATGAATACCTCAGCAATTCCTGGAGGGCAAGAAATGCTGCGGAACAGAGGGAGAATGAAAACCAGTGATTCCCTCCTAGACATTCAGTCCCAGCCTAAATAAGGGACTTCTGAGCTGAGTGCTGAATGAGTGCACTGATTTATCATGTCTAGTGCTAAAGTCAGGTATTGTGGTCAGGGGTGAGCTGGGGATATCCGTGCTTATATGGGGGAGAGGGGAACTGAGATTAGCCAAATAGACATAACACAAATGTCCTCCACCTTGGCAGTGTAAAAAGAGTGAGCCAGTAAGTGCATTGGCAGTTGGACTAGATGATCATTGTACGTCCCTTCCAGCAGAAAATATTCTATTCTGTTCTACATCCTGTTGCATGGACCTTCTCAATGCCGTTTTGGAGACCAAACATGAAAGTCTGGTCCCTGCCCTGCAGGGGAAAAATCCTCTTTACATTCTCTGAGAAGATCCCCAGGTAGCAAAGGGAGCTGGAGGAGGCTGGTTTTGGTGGCTGTCATGGCTACCTGGCAGTCCGTCAGAGCAGCTGGTCTGGTGACACTTACTAGTGGCCTTTCTGTGGACCTGATGGCTGTAACATGCACGTGCTTTTCCATCTTGACCCCCTCCTCTCCCCAAGAGGAGCTGACCGTGATGGCTCAGATCTGTGGCTAAAGGACTGCTGTGCTCAGCAGAGCAAGAGAGACTTCAGCTTTCCAGGGCTTTCTGCTCCTTGGGCAGTCATGCTCTTGCCAGCCAGTGCTCCTTTGCTTTTCAAGGTGTTCCCTCAGCACCTGTTCTAGCCCACCTCTGGCTCCCCAGAACCTCCTGTGACTGAGGACTGGGTGGGCTTTTCTCTGTTTTTACTGGCCCTGTGAGACAAGGCTTCTTTTTTTTTTTTTAAATAGTTAGGTTTTATTTTTGATTAACAAGGATGTTGTAATCAAGCTTAACCAGCTATAGCGTACATCCTTGTCTCCCTGCTGCTGGAGTTGCATGGGGCATGATAACTGTTGCCCTGCTCCACAGCTGCAGTTTGCCCAGCCTTCTTGTGATGGACCTACCTTCCTGCCCAGAAGATGAAACCTGCCCAGGTTTGTTCGAAGCCCGGGAGCGATCCACTTAGCTGCATGGAGAGATCATTAAGAGAGGAGGGTGATAAGGGAAGTAGTGTGATAAGGGTTTTTTTACGGGCTGTGGGGAGGTGTGCTGTGCAGGGAAGTGGTGAGAGGAACAGGACTGTCAGCTGACGCTCTCAGACGTGACACTTGGACTGAGTGTCACATAGATTCATGGTGTAAGGTCCCCAGCTGCTCTCAACAGCCAGCTCCTGCCAAGCATGTGCACAGTGAGGGAAGGTGGAAAGAAGTTGGGACTTTAACTGCTCCAGCCACCTTCTCTCTCTCAGGAGGCCTCTGCATGGCTTTCTGTGTGTGACGACAGTCCAGCTGTTCTGGGAGCAAAAAACCCCACCCGGTCTGGACCAAAGACTAGTGTTAAATCAGGGTAAGTGTAACCACACAACTCAAAGCATATTAAGGAAGTGTGGTTTGTTTCTTGCTGGTCCAGGAGATAAACAACGGGGTGGCTATTGCCCTGTCTGCTAAAAGCATTAGACCAGGGAAGGACAAACCTTGGTTATGCTCTTTGGTACAGCAACATATAAGAGGTCTGAGTTCATACTGATTCGTCTGCAAGTCCTTTTTCAAACTATGACTGTGTGGAGAAATATTCCAGAAATTTTGAGCGCAAGAATAAGGGAGACTTTTTAATTTTCCTTCTGTCAGCCTCATGAGCAAAAACTTGTAACTGTTTCTTTGTCTCTGCTTTGCTATATCTGTGTTTGAAGTTTCCTATCTTTCTCCTCTCTTTCTGCAGGTCCTTCAGAAGCTTGGGAAAGCGGATGAAACAAAAGATGAGCAGTTTGAACAGTGCGTGCAGAACTTCAACAAACAGCTGGTAAAATAATTGGCGATATATAATTACACCTGGCTTTCAGTATTAGCTTCCAGTCATCTGCTGCAATAGGCAATTAAAGCCCATTAGATTAAATGATGCCACAGGCCTACTGAAGTGACCCGGAACTTGTAGCTGTTCACTTATGAGAAGTTACACTGTGTCTTCTAGTGCCCCTATCATGGAGTCAGTGACAGTGTATGCTGAAAAATAATAGTTGTTCTGGACCCAAGTTTAGAAAAGAAGTAGCTCAGCCAGAACACTTCCTTGAGTTAGCAGCTGCTTTGTAATGTAATTTTTCCTGCTGGGTTGGAAGCACAGATATAAGAACAACATTGTGTCTCTGAAAGATGGGTAGGATGGGAAAGAGATTAGAAATAAAAAATAAAATGGAACAAGGCAGTTTCAGTTTCTGAAGCACAGTGGAGGGCAAAAGAGACAAAGAAAGCAAATGGTGAAAAGGAAACATCCTTCCATGGCTAAGATCTAAGTCTAGCTTCCTCCCCATCCTTGCACAATCACTGTGTCAGGCCTGAGTCATTATTCTTTCACATGTCTGCTTCATTGCTATATTTTAGCGCACAAAAATATTTTAACAGTGTAGCAATTTTCCCCCACCCTCCTACTTAAACAGCAGCAGGTTTGTATCTTGAACTGGGTGTGTGGTGGTTTTTTGGTGGGTTGTTTTTGTGGGTTTTTGGGGGTTTTGTTTTTGTTTGGGTTTTTTTTGTTGGTTTTCTTGTTTTGTTTTTTTGTTTGTTTGTTTTGTTTTGTTTTTTAATCTGGAGCTTTCAGCCACCCAGAGGAGGGGAAAACATCAGTTAACCCAGGGGATTTGCACGCTGGTGCTTGGTGTTAGGGGAAGTGTTGCTTCTGTTTCACGGCACGAAATGTGTGCCACACCAAAGCTCAGGTGGCACTGAAGAAATCTTTTAGCCCCTTTGTGCCCTGACATATTTAGAACCTTTTTCTGGAGCTGTTAGCGGCTGAAGCATCATGTCTGTTAAGACTCAGCAGATGTGGTTATGCGTCGCAAAACCAGCTGAGAAGGAATTTGCCACAGCTGAATATAATGAAAATCTTTCAGTCTGACTTTGACTTATGTCTAACCAGAGCTGACTGCAGATTCCTTGGCAGTGATAGTAGCTGCTGTTACAGCAGTTCATGCAACATCTCTGTAGCATGTCCACCACTGATATCCTCTTGTACACAAAGGAATACAGTTTGGCTTCTTTCTGACGACATGACATTACCAGGTGTCACTTTTCCATATCATTTTCAATATTGGCAGTCAGGAAATAATCATTTTAAAGGAGAAATACTGAAAAACTCAAATCCAGACTTCTTGATCTGGCTGTCTGGGATGGCTTTTCAATTTCCAAAGCCGTGAGTTCCAGTGGTGCACTGAGAAGCCTGTTAGAGAAGCACTGCCTCTTGTACCCATTACAGCTGACTTTCTTTTCCTGTCTTGCAGTGATAAGCCATGAATGAAATTCTCTAAATAATTTATCAAAGGAGCTGGAGGCTGCTGTGCATTTGCTGCTTGGGGTCTGTTGGTTTTGCTTTGGCCCTCAGTTTCCCTGTTGCTAAAACAAATGCAAACAATGCCTGTTTTACAGGGCAAACCATAAATGTGAGTTAGCTGGATTGTTAGGATATCCAGGGCTCAGGAGTTGCTACGATGCCAGGTAGACTAGGGAAAAAACTTCAGCTATATGTGCATATATATGCACTTGTTTTTATACGTGTGATATGTGTGTCTAGTATAGCTGTGTGTGAGATTTCTGTGGCTTTCCTTACTAAGTCTGCTCCATTCGGAAATGTAGTCTGGAGGAAAGCAGATCTTTTGCTGCAGGCTTGTGACATAACAGCTCTCCTGTGGAACTGTCTGGGGTATGACCAGGCAGTGGCCTTGTTTGCTGTTTGATTAGAGGCTTCACTGGCTCGAATGACTGTGTTGGGCCGCTTTAACACATGTTCCCATGCATGGGCTGTTGATGAATGGAGAGCAGGTCTAAAAATCACTTACTCATTTTCAACCAAGACGTCTTGTGGATCTCTCAAATGGTGGTTGAGTGGCCGTAAGGGAAAGCATTGCACTTCCCAGCTCTCTGTCCGTTCAGGTTCATATAAGAGCACCCTTCTGAGGGCTCTGAATGGGAAGAGCTTTCTAGCTCAGACAGATGGATTTCCTGTGTGACAAATGAACTGGACATAACCATACTTCTGCAGGGCTACAGGCCTCGCTCTGTCTCTTGAAGGCTTGACAAGCAGCACAACTGGCCCCCATATTACTCCCTCATGACAGATTACCTTTGGCAACTAACCTCCCAAAAAGTTCATTCGAAGGCTCCCCCCTCCTTCCCTTTCCCGGTTTCACTTGTGTTCAGGTACAGGCACAAGGATCTGTCCTGGAAATTCTCCTCACAAAGCTGGAAGCAAGAGGCCTGCTGCAAAGTTGCAACGCAGCCCCTGCCAGCGGCATGCTAGGCTTTGGCTTCTCTTCCCCTGCATTTGAATTACTCCCTGGAGAGACAGAGTGGGAGGCTGGTGGCAGCCCTTACACTTGTCACTGTTGTGTTTCTGCCTGGCAGAGCGGCTGGGTTTTGATACCTTTCGTGAGATGTCACTGGTGTGGAAGTTCTGGGTTGGTTTACAGTGTTTCACACCAAATGCATGAGATGCAAGCTGCTGCTGGCATGGGCTGCATCCATCTTTACCCGTACCCCACGGTGTTTGGCGCAGCCTCAGCATGCAAGGCAGGCAGTGTGGACTTAATCCTTGCTCTTGCAGCATAGGTTTTGCTGTGGACCATTACAGTCAGTAGCTCAGAGACTTTCTTTCCAGGCAAGAACCCTTCACGCTCAGCAGTTTCCACTTCAGCCCTATGTAGCAAAACAAGTTTAACAGCTTGCCTGTTATCCTAGGATGGGAGCTTTTCACCAGTTGTTCATGCTTTGTGTTTTAACAGCTCTGAAGTTTTGCTGAGTGGGGGCTTATCTGGAGCTGTTGTTTCAATGCTTCTCCCTCCCCCTTCCTTTATAATTCCACAGTCTGCTCTTCCAGCCCTATATTAATCCAATCTGGAACAGGACATTACCTGCCCCTCTCAGGTGTAGAACATCACTCCTGATAATAAAATTCCTTCTCATTGGAACTGCAAAACCAGGGAGGTTTTGTAAAGAAGGGGTTGCAGACTAATATTGATGAAAGAATTTATTCTGAAGATTGGGGAAAAAAGGGGTTTAGGAAACCTGTCTACTACCAAGAAACAGCTCTACAGAAAATCACATACTTAGCTAGGGCTCAGTGAAAGGTATTTTAAGTAACAACCCCCCAACAAAACAAAGTACAAAAAGATACCACATTGTTATCAATTAATATGTATAATATGATTGAAATAACCAGGGAGCTGCTGAAGTCCTGTGTACGGCCCGTATCAGTTAATATTTAAAGTAGAGAAACATTAACTAGACATGCTTTAGGGTTTAGGAACTAACTATTGGACAATGGGGCCTTATGTTTATGTCAGAAAAGGTAATGGATTGTAGTCTGGTCAATAAACCTTGAAGAAGCACTTGGAACTGCCAAGATTAGCAAAGAATTAGGCAAAAGGCAATTCCTAGGGGGAGATTGTGACCACCTACTCAAATGATACCACCTCCTCAAAAGAAGACAATGAAGGAGGAAGACAGTCTGCGCACTAATTTTCATGAGGGGCAAAGAAAAAAGAACCAATCATTAAGGAAAATAACAGTGACTATGTATTAGGTAAATGTATAAATGTAAGAGTTTTTGAGACAAGGGTGTGCTGTCTTGAGACAGGCACCCATTCATGCGCATCAGTTTAATTTGAAAATACCTCAACTCTGTGTGTTATTGGCTTGCACACTGGGTGCACGAACCCTGTTTGTGGGACAACAAAATCGCTTTTGTTTCTTCCTTTCACAGAGCTATAAGTGATAGGTGTTCCATTAGGTCTTTGGAGAGAGAGCTCTTCCAGCCTCCCAAGCATAGCACTTCTATTTTTAAATATGCATCTTCCTGTACATACTGTCCTTCGTATTATACCTGATTGTCTTATAGGCTCACAGGGTTGAATTACACTGTGATTGCAAGTATGGCAATATCTGCTCAAACAAGATGATACTTGTGTGTTTGAGTAGAATGACTTACTGTGGTCACTTCTACATCAAGACACAGTGTCATTGTCCCTGTGTGAAGATTTTAAGTCAGTTTGTTAGTGCAGGGATGAGAAATGAATATGGGGTTCAGAATCGGCACTGATCTTCCATTTTTTTCCTAGTTCTACTTGCTTTTTGTGGAGTTTTTTTACTCTGAGAGATATATATACACACACACACTAATTCTTCTTTCTTACATTTTTGCAATTTAAAAATTACTATGCTATTAGATTTTTTAACATCTTTAGATTCAACCATACCTCTATAATTTCCCTCTGCACACCCTTAAACTCTTCAATAACTGGGAAGTGGATTAATTTTCCAGATTCCAGTTTAACTCTCTTCCCTACATTTTTTACCTTTGAGTTTAGGAAGCATCTCTTAAACATGCACTCAAGGGTGTTGAAAGCTTCTGTTCTATACAGTATTTGACGGTGTCTAACTGCATTGCAAGAGGTATTTATGCAGAATCATGGCTGTACTTGACAGCTTGCTATAGCCTGCTTAAAGAAAGCAGGTGCTGCATGCACAGAGAGAAAGCAGTTGCCAAAGTTTCTTGGGAAGGCATTAATGCTTAAAATTATAAAAAGAAACCTTTGTAGTAAGGAAGGGAGCTGCTTTACCGGTAGACATGAAATAAAGCAATGGGAATGCCAAAAAAGGACTTGAATGGGAACCCCAGGTGCCCAGGGGTGCTGGGGAAATGGGATTCATGCCAAAACTCTGAATATGGGCCTCGTAAAATCTGAAGGCAGAAAAATTTTCAAGGCTGTAAAGTCTATTCACTCCCTCTGGCAGGCTTAGTACTTTTAAGAGGCTTAGGTAACCCCATAGTCACAGAGATCAGCTGTAACCCTGACTTTAAACATCAGCAAGAGATGACAGAGAAAGACCGCTCCAGTTGCAGGATGCAGCACTGCATATTGGCTGACTGTACATCATAGCAAGACAAGTGGAGTTGAGGATGCATGGAGAACACAGAAGGCTAGTTGTGCATTGCTGCAATTGCATGCTCCAGTATTCAGGCCCTAACTTGCAGGTTTTTCAGGTGATCTGTCTAAAAATCTTGATTTGATGTTTAATTGTGATGCCAGTGTACCTCTCGGAGGATACTTTTCTCCCCATTACTTTGGGACTGGGTATCAAGACTTGAAGAGTTCCTGAGTTTCGGTTGTGTCACGTGCTGCTGTGGCAGGACTTAGGCAAATATGGGCACAATTTTAGAGGCAGTTTCTGATTTTAGATGCTATAATTTTGAGAGTCACAGTTCTAGACATTGCAGTGCCCAACTGTGTGGTGGGCAAGTTCTGCAGAGCACTTCCCTGTTGATTAGTTTCTGATAACCTCAAAGTTGTGTGTTCAAATTTAGTCATTCTTAAAAATGATACAGCTGCAGGATGATGATGTATCCATCTGAGGGATTTTGCATGATAGTTTCTTCTGTGCCATTTCCTCTTGTGTTCTGACATCTCATCTTTCCAGTTCCAGTCTGTGATTTCTAGCACGGACCAATTCTAGGCAGACAGCACTGCTTTCCTCTAAGACTTTTTTGCTTCCTGCATTGGGCACAAGCAAACACATGTTACAGTGTGATTGAACTGCTGCTTGTCAGGTCAGCCTCCCTGACGGTCCTTTGTGTGTGTGCTCTTTGATTACTCTGGTACCTCTTCCCTGGTGGTTTCTGATTGCACTGTTAGGAAAGTCTCATCTGCCCGGGTTTCCACATTCACCTTAAGCCAGCAAAAAGCTCTACATTTGTTTGCTCTGTGTTTTAAGAACTCCTAGGACTTTCACAGCAGATGTGGTCATTATTGCTTTCCTCTTGTACTCTCTTTGGGTCAGTTCCAATGCTTCTCCAGAACAGGAGTCTGACTTTCTTTTATAAAAGTGGCCAGCAATTTCCCATCCCTCATTTCCTTTGTTGATGGCAGTAGGAAAAGAACAAATGTGAACTCATCCAGAACTTTCGAGGCAAGAAAAACAAATTGGGCCATAGTGTTGGAAGCAGATGGATTTCTTCACAAGGCTATGCTAGCACTGCCACTTCCACAGCTGGGCAGATTTAGCCTCTGCTTAGAGAGTGCAGCTGCAATGAGAGCACAAAGGATCACAGCATGAGCTCGGTTGAGGCAGGAGTTTCTTGAGTGGTGGCGAGGGCTGATGGGAAACATCTGCTTTTGAAGCTGGTTGCTCCAAGGCAGCTGTCAGAGATGTCCTGTGAGCTCCCCATCTCTGGAGTTGTCTTTAGCTGTCAAAATTCATTATGCTGCCCCCCCTCCACAATGGGACACAAGCTGGGAAAAAAAAGGAGGAATGGCAGCAGGCTGTGAGGAAGGTGTGAGGTGTAGTTGTTGCTTTCCTGCATTGTTGTTTTTACAGCTAATTTGGGGGATAATGAGGATCCAGTGAGATCCCACAGGGTAACAGAAACCCTTTTGTAACAGAGATCTCTCTCAAACTTTTTTCTGTACTTCTTACTCAATGTTTGCTCCTTCCCTTGCTTTGACATGCTCTGTGGTGGTGGTGCTGAACTCCAAGCCTTGCTTTTCTCTTCCTTTTGTTTCTGTTGAGTATTTCCCTGTCTGCTTTGCACTGTCAATGACATATGGCAAAGTAGAGAGGGGAGGTAGACCTGAGTGTGCTTATCCAAGTACAGAAGAGCGGTCATATTGCGAGTGCCTGAGTCAACTTTGCCGTAAAAATCTCCATGACCCTTTCTAATCTGGGTTCTTGTACTGCACTCGCCTGTGTCATCTGAAGGTTCAAACTGGCAAAACTTGGCCCAGCTTCTGGTTTTAATCCTCTGTTTCCTAGTGAGTGAGATCTGCTGCTGGTAGGCCACCTCCACAGTGAAAGCTAAAGAAAAAGATGATTATTTCTGTATTTGTAAGCCCTGCTGCACAGGACAAGTTAGACAGGATGTTTGGGCAGGTCAGAGGTCCCTTGTACCCACTTTGCATTGGGGTTTTGGTTTGCAGTGTGGCAGGAAAAAGTGGTGAGCTGAACTGCTCCCAAACCAGTACAAAATAAATCAATTGCATCTATCTTCTATATCCTACAGATTCACTTCAGTTACCTTTGTTGTACAGAACCACTAGCCCTTGGCTTATAAATTAATTGTTGCCCTTAAGACCCTCTGTGGTTGCTTGTACAAAATCAAAACACTAAAGCTGGCTCTGCTGGGAAGAGCAAAGCACAGCTTTACCCACATCAAGTTAGCTTGGTGGTATTGTTGGCTGAGTATGCCTGCAGGTCACCATCTGTGGGCTTACCAAGTCAGAGGGCTGTGTGGTCTCCCTGTTAACATTTATGTTTTGTGTGGTCATAGGGCTGGCATGTAGCCCATCTGCAAAACCATTTTTCTTAATTTAGAAATGCTTGATGATTCTGCCTTACACTCTCTTTATATGAGAGAATAAATGATGGTCTTCTCCTTATGTTCACAGTCTGAAGGTACGAGGCTGCAGAAGGACCTCCGAACTTACTTGGCTTCCGTAAAAGGTAAGGTCTGCATAAGCAGAGAATAGTTTTGTCTCTAGTGCTTACCCACGCAGTGAGGTTTCTGCAGCCATCCTCTCTTTGTGTTTCCTCAGGCATGAGTTGTAGGAAAGGTCAGCCTTATCTGGGTAGGGGATCTTTCAGAATCCTTCAGAACCAGCTGGGGTGGAATGGGGTTGTGCTTTGATGCCAAACAGGTGGTGCTGTCTTAGGAGATAGACTCTCATATCTTGCTAGGGGAGGAACGAACACAAAGGATTTGATGTGACTGCATCCTCGGTTCCTTTCTCTGCCTGGTTACTTTCCATCTTTTTTATCAAGGGTCAGACATTCTGTAAGGAAGAGCTTAGCATTTGTTATAGCCCATTCAACACCTCCTGCGTCCTTGTTCCTCAGGATGAGTGTTAAACTGTGAGGAACATGCTGTCTCCCTCTTTCTGAAGCAGTTCCCTCTTCTTTCCTAGCCATGCACGAGGCCTCCAAGAAGCTGACAGAGTGTTTACAGGAAGTTTATGAGCCGGATTGGCCTGGGAGAGATGACACAAATAAAATAGCAGAGGTAAGACTCTGTCCAGGATGTGGGGTCACCAGGCTTGGTCTGTCAGCAGCAATGAGCTTTGGAAGCTGTGTCTGTGCACCACGTTTCTTCGGGCGTATGGCTTTGCAGAATAATTGGAGAGACAAACTCAGCGTTGGGAAGAAGGGGAAGCTGAAGGGATGTGGACTGTATTTTTGTCTCTGTAGAGAGCACTGTCCCCAGATGCTTGAATGCTATACAGAGGCATACACTTATGCCCACAAGCAATTTGTTCCCCCAACAGTGCCTAAACAGGGACGGAGGATGCCAAAAGAGAGTCGATAGGGTTAACTGCATTTATTGCTTATGCTCTGTGCAAGAGAAAGGGGAAGGTAAATCTATGGCCAAAGCATGGTCAGAGCAGCCATTGTGTAGCTGCAACAAGGTCCTGCTCACAGCAGTACCACCAGCTGCCATATTTTAGTTACCACCTTGTTCGGCTGAGCCACGTGTCACCCCAGCCTGCTGTTCTTCTCATCCCTTAGTGAGGCGATGTCTGTCCAACTTGCCCAGGTGTTTTCTGTGGAGCTTAGGGCACAGCCTGTCATTTGACAGCTTGGATCCCCCTTGGCATGTGTGTGTGGTTGGTCCAGCTGGAGGCAGGTGCCCTCTGCTCTCTTGCTCAGCTGTTCTGCTGAGCAGCAGCTGTGGCAGGTCAGCACCGTGGATCCATCTGCCATGAGGCTGCAGGACTGGGCCTCCCTGCAGCTGTCTCTGGCATAGGAGCGGTGGGGAAGGAATAGAGAGGAGAGCAGGACAAGGATTATTCCCTTCCCCAGCTTTCCTCTGCAGAAAATCTCACCTGAAATAACATCTGCATCTTGCCTAAGAAATACTGACTTCAAAGCAGGTAAATCAAACAAAACCTGAACATGTCCAGGTCAGTGCTTGCATTAACATGGAAACTTTCCATTAGGAAGTGCTGTTGCAGTAAATAATGCAGTTGTAATTCAGCTAGTTTGGCTTCACATTCTCTGTTGGCCTTTTTTCTCTTCCTGAGCTACTCCTGGGAGACCGTCCCTTCAGAGAATTTGAGCCAGGGAACATGAGTCCTGAGAACGAACTGTAGCTACCCTGCAGGTCTGCAGGAATGTTTCCAGCCTTCTACCTCTCCCTTTAATGCCTTTGTTTATGTTTCTGTCTTTCAGGAAAAGTCAGGCAGGAGAAAAGTGCTATTCCTGCCCCCAAAAGTAATAAATACCCACACAAAGTAGGCATTTTTTTCTGAGTATTTTAGCCAAACCCCTTCGTTCAATTGGGAAAACAGGAGAGAGGGGCAATTTCCACCTAATCAAAAATGTTGATGGGAAGTTACTGAGCCTAAGATAAGATCAAGGATAAAGCGTGCGCAGGTTAGGGTGCAAGCCTTGGATGTGACCTCCATTGGGCTGTGGAGGCAGGTGGTGTGAGGGCTGAAGACTGCTAGAATAGCTTTCTGTTATTGTTTGTTATCCTCCAGAAAGCTGCATTGTAATAAAAAGCAGAAAATGGTGCCTAGTGGTGTCAGGTGTCCCGCTTATGTGGCTGCTGGGAGCAGGTAAAGCCAGCCTAACCTTCATCTTCCCTTCTGTTGTATAGACTTGGGCTAGCACTGCAGGGGAAAAGACAGTCCCTCAAAGAAAGGTTCACAAAAGGTGTTGTGTCCTTGTAGAGGTCACCTGAATTAGCAACAGCAAGCTTTCTTCTCTGTTTCTACATTTCTGGCATGATCTCTGTTTTCAGCTAACTTCTCGGCTCCTTAGGTTTTTTTCAAATAAATGTTTATTTCTTAAGAGCTCTGGGGAACTGAAATCGTTGACTGTAGCACTCATAGAAAAAAACAGAAATGCAGAGCTCTGTGTTCTTAATAGTTAGCTCATTACTTTTGTTTTTCAGAACAATGATCTTCTCTGGACAGATTTCCATCAGAAGCTGGTGGATCAGGCACTTCTGACCATGGATACGTACCTTGGCCAGTTTCCAGATATTAAAGTAAGATTCTCTTTAAACCTTTTGATCTACAGGGTCACAGCAGGTGAAACCTCATAAGAATCAATTTCTTGCATCCCCATCTTCTTAAGGAGGATGTGTGTGCTGTGCTACTGCAAGCTCTTCTTTTAGAGCAGCCAAGATCTTTCCCGCTCTGGGTCATGTGAAAATGTTATGTTCTCCTTTGGGTGTGAAATGAGAGTGAAGAATTCAGGGGAAAGATGCTGAAGAGAAAACATAAGTGCAAAACAGGAGGATCCATAAAATTTCCTATTGTATCACAGTGCCGGAGGGCAGGGTCAGCAATAACTCACAAGCTCTCAGTCTCTCTTTTCAGTCCTTTGGTTTTTCAACTTCCTTGTAAGTACAAAGCGTTGAGTAAGCAGTTAGTGGCAAACGTGCTTTATAGGTGTGGACAGCGGATTTCTGTGTGATCCCTGAAGTCCTGCTGTGCATGTAACCAGCTTGTTGTAGGGAAGGGGGAGAGCTATCCAGGCGTCTTTTGGGGGGAGATTGTATCCAAGGACCTGGGTTTGCGTGATGTCCTGTGAGCTTCCCTTCCCCCACAGTTAGCTCCTCTCTCTTCGTTTTGAGAAGGTTATGCAGGAAATGTCTTCACCATATGGAAGCACTAGTAATGATATCACCATATGGGAAGTATCAGCTTGGCTACTTCCCAGTGAAAACAACCCTTTCCCCACCACATGTCTCTTAAAACGTTTGTCAATATTTGTTGCTTCCAGAGGATCGTGCTGTATCAAGGAGGGACAGGTCACAGGCTTGTAAAATGAGCCCTGAACAGCAGTGTCCTTGCCTCCTGGGGCTCCTTGTTTTTGCTTCATTTTTCCAGCCTCTTCTGTTCCTGGAAGTCTGAAGTGGGGAAGCTTGAAGAGGCTTGCTCTTGCTTTCTACCCGCTCAAGGCTGTAGAGCTGATCGCTCCCTGTAGCGTGACGCCATGTGCCTCAGCAGCGCGGGGGCTCGTGCACTGCTTCCGAAGCAGAAGGTTTTATTTCAGGCTCGCTGTAGACTCAGAGTTCTGCACTGCTTCAGTCCAAATCACATTTTACCAGCCTTGTTGGCTTTGCACTGGGTTACCTCAGAGTGTCACTTTTTTCCATGCTGAGTATCTCCAGGATTCCTTAATTCTGCTGGGGTCCTGCTGAGGTTTTACGGTGGGATTTTAAAAGGAGCGCAAGACTGGGACCACCCAAATGCCACCAAAACTCAAGGTGTTAGGCACTGAGCTCCCATGGATCCTTTCTGACTTCCGAATGGGCCACTAAGGTGTTTATTACTAATGTTCCTTTCTCGGTCTTCAGATGATGCTCTAGAAAATGGGAAGTTAAAGCAATTTTATGCACAATTTTAGTGCTTTAAAGAGAGTACTACTCACCTCTGCTTCCCTTCCTAAAACGAGTGAGAATTTGGCTTTCTGTTGGTTCCTACAATAAGGTATGGATATATTTCACAAGAGTGGCTATTTGTTTAAAGTGGACTTCCAGTGGTATGAATTTAAAAAGGTCAGTGCGTTTTTATTGGTAATTCAGCCAGATGCATCATCCTCCTTATCCTGGAGCAGTGAGAAGTGCTCAAATCAAGAAGTGGCTCAAATCAAGTATGTTTTCTTCAACTGGTAGAAACTCCTATAAGTGCTGTTGTTGAAGGTTGCTACAGTTGTACAGAAGTGTAGTTTGGTTTCACATAAGGAATTGGAGTTCTTGAGTTTGGCAGGCAAAAAAACCCCAGTCTTATGTAATTTATGGAATATTTGAGTTCGTTTTTGTTACGGTAATAGTTTTCTGGTTTTTGTTTTCCACAAAAGCAAATTTTATGCTTTTCCTGGAATTCTGGCATTACTGTGATAATGAAAGATGATTTATGGAGATAAAATGATTTTAATTTAGTTATGTGAAGGCCTGTTTTTTTGTTAACAGCCCCGTAATTCAAATGTGTAATGAGTTAGATCATGCATGCATTATTTTTTGTTAAATTCTAACATATTCTGAATCCTTCTTCTCTTGAGGGGCTGGAAAAATTCCCTTGAATTTTTTTGGATTTGCAATGGGGTCAACAGCAGGAATATGAAAACATAGCGTTCCTTTAGTAAGGAATTTTTATAAGTTAAAGGGAATAATTTTAAAATGTTGGGTGGGGAGGGGTGAAAAAAGCCTGTCTGTCTTCTCTAACTTGAAAAACAGGAATGCAAAAAGTACTTTATCCTTCGTTGCAGGTCAATATCTGTAACTTCTTGGAGTAGGACTCTTGCATAATCTGTGATATTTCTGAGTGAGTTTTTGGTTGAGGTTGCAGAGTATGCAATAAGAGTACAGGTCTTTGCAGTGAGCCCAGAGAAGATGAATCATAACCCAATTCTGAATAGCTGTAGAATTGGTGATTTTCTGTCTTGCACTGAAACTGGTGCCCTCTTTCTACTAGGTTTAAAACCAAATATTGGGGCGGGGGGGGGGGGGTGTGGGGGGGTTTGGGGTTTTGTTTTTTAAAGGAGGCTCAAATTAAGATGGATTTCTTGCAAAGCAGTAAACTCTGTTGGAGTTCAGCTTTTACTTTCAGATAGTGGTGGGTAGCTGCAGCTATCCTAGAGTCATACAAAGAAGCTGCCCTGCAGCCTTCCAGGACTGGGCTAAGTCCCATCACTGCCATCACAGGCAGTTGTGTGATCAGTGGTTACCCCAGGAGGACTAGCACACAGTGTACCCATACCTCGTGGCATTTCCACCTACTCTAGTGGGAATGTGAGGATAGCGTTTAGAAGATCAGGAGCTGCAAAAAAGGGCAGGAGTTACCTTTTTTGAGAGATGGGTGACACTGAATCAAACTCCCTGGTGGGGTGGCAGGAAAACCTGGAAGTGGCTGTTTGCCATGTCAGAGGTGGGCAAAACTCCAGCTATCTCTACCAGTCTGGCCTGGGGGAAAAATCCTCTCTCTTAAATCCCAGATCCAGCCGTGTGTTTCATCTGGTGTCTCTGGAAGATGCATTAACTAGCATCTCAGAGATTGTCACGCTGCTGAAAGCCCCCTCCGACATCCCGCCTCTGTGCCTGGCTGGCAGCATGATGTCTGGGAGGTGTCTTCTAGTGACCTTGACTGTGGGGTGGCTCGGCTTCTTCGTGATGTCTCTCCTGGAGTGAGCCGAGTGCTTTGAAATCAGTTTGGGTGTGCATGTGGCTGAGATTCTGCGGATCTGCTGTGACTCACACAGGGCTGCACCAGCATTCGCTGAAAGTGCAGAGGATCATGTGTGGGAGACGTGCGAACTGGTCCCAGCTGGTCTGGCAGAAAGATCAGCCCTGAGTGCGGTTTTGCAGCTTATCTGTAGGAGCTTAGGGAGAGGAGACTGCATCTCCTTGCCAAGTACAGTGGAGGGGAAGATTTGCTTTTGCAAGTAAATCCCAGTGCTGATTCTTCATCTTGCGCTTTCAATTTCCCTGGGTGCTGAGGTTTATTAGAAACCCTCCTGGCTCTTTGCCATGCCTTTTCCTTCCAGTTCTCCAGCCTGTCTCTGTCTAGACTGCTGATCACTGAGGCTGGACCAGGCTGTCTGAGCTGGAGAGTGCTAGGGTCAGGCTGGGAAGACCTGTGCTCCAACCCAGATAGTCTGGGGTGTTTGTAGAGATTGTGGGAGGCAAGGGTCTAAGGGGGGTGGATGGCTCCTAAAACAGGGCAGCCCAGTGGGCCTGAGCCTCACTGAGGTGAAATGCTGCTTGGGGAGAGAGCCTGAGGCACCTCAGATGAAGAAGGGTAATGGAGGATCAGGCCGCAGGCTTGACTGTCTGTTCTGGATTCTCACCTATGGACTTAACCAGGACTCCATTCCTGCACATGAGTCTGGTACACAGTTGGCTCCCTCCTTGTATTTGTTACTGCTTCAGTGTGCCTTGCCTGTTAGTGACACAGTGCTACCGGTTTTCCCTCACACTTCTCTGGCTTAATAGCTAGTTGGAATGGACCACTGCCTGTGGCTGCAGTCACTTCTGTCTGGACCTCCTGTTGCAGGGTCCAAAATGCTGTCCTAGGTGTATCCTGAGCGTGTGGATGAGTGCTTTTGCTGTGCTGGCAGCAGAAATGCCTTCTTTTGTTGAACTTAATCTTTTGAGCTTCCACACGAACCAGGGTTGTGAGCTGGTTAGTTAGAGTCTGGCTGCAGCCCTTAGGAAGCCCTGAAAATGATGAAGCAGGTGCCTGTAGGATGCAGGCACATGGGGAGGCTTAGGAAGCACTGGAGCTACAGTTCTGAAAACATTAATGTCATCCAGAGGTGGGGCCTGTTGTTGGTTGGATCCCTTTGCTTTCCCTGGGTGGGTCTGCTCTCCTCCTGAGGAGCTCCCTCTAGAATGGTGGTTGTCACAGGTGGCTCCCAGGGCCATCTCTCTGGGCAGCCTGTGTGGAGTATCCACTGAGTGTCCTTGTGTGGGCAGAGCACGGGATGCTCGGGAGGTTGGGTGAAGAGGAGTGGGGGGGGTTCCTGAGAGGCTTTGTGGTTTTGGCTGCTGGGGAAGATTGTCACAACTCTTTTCTCCATCTTTCTTAGTCTCGTATAGCAAAGCGAGGAAGGAAGCTTGTGGATTACGACAGTGCCAGGCACCACTTCGAAGCCCTGCAGACTGCAAAGAAGAAGGACGAAACCAAAATCGCAAAGGTAAAGCAAGCAAAAGGATGTGCAGCCATCCTTTCATTTTGGGAGGTCTATGTTTGCCTACTGAGCAGGTTTTAAGTGTGCCTGTACCTCTTCACTGGGTGTGTTATCATAGAATCATTTAGGTTGGAAAGGACCTTTAAGATCATTGAGGTGTTGTGAACTGGTGAGGTTTTGCTAGGTATTTCCTTCTCATCTGTTTAGTTCTCCTAGAAGGCAGGATGGTCTCTGTTGTGTTGGTTCAGACTCTCTGTCATCAGTCTGCATCTCTCTGTGGCAAAGGCCTAGGTATGCATTTCCTCAGATACTGCAGGACCAGCAACCTCTGTCAGAAAAGCCCATGTGCCTCTGGGGGAAGCAAAACCTTGCAATGCCCCCGAAAAATTTTCCAGTTTGCTTCTTGGGGCTCTGTCTCCCCATCTTAGAGCAGCGGTGAGAGTAAGTGCTTGAGTGTTGCTTGAGGTTGGTTGTGTTTGTGAAGTCCTCTGATATTCTAGGACAGCGATCCTTAGGAGTGTGAGTTTACAAATTCATCAGTGGAAATGCACCCTATGCACACTTGATGACTGTGTTCTGTTGTCTGTTAGTCACAATTACTGGATAATAAATACAGCTGAAAGCAGAAAACCAAGAGTTTTCTCTTGTTAGGGTGTGGTTTCTATCATGCCTGTGAACATCTTGATCCAGGGTTAACTGCAGAGCATGCCCAACATGCAAGTAAATAAAAATTAGATTTTCTTTTAAATGTAGCTGAAGAAAGGTGATAGTGGTAACCTTGTTCTAGAGGAGGCACATGGTTTGAATACCTGCCCAGAAAATGAGCTGTGGATTACTCCTGTACCCTGAGTGGATTTGAACCCATATGCTCCACTCCCCAGGACAGGTCTTGACACAACAGAATAGTCCAGGGCTGAGGAGACATCTTTAATTCTCTTGAATGTGGGCCATGGCACATCAGGACTCTTCAAGCTAGAAGCAGTACAGGAAAGAAAGAGCCTGGATCTGTGTCTTTTAAGCAGGCTGAGAAGAGTTGTCATTCTTTGCTTAGAGTTATTTCTGGTAGGAGGGAGATATGGGCTATGTGAGAGATGCTGGTGTTTCTCCTGCATGGAAGAAATAAAGATGCATCTCTCCCCCAAGTGAAAGATCTGCATTTAATGGCCACAGTACTTTTATTTTTAAGCTGCAAGTCATCTGCTCACCCAGTGTATGTACTGCAATTAACCTTGATGGACAAAGGGGAGAGAGAGATTGATGGCTCAGGTGTCATCGCATCATTTGCGTGGCAAAGCAAGTATTGGTTCTGTATGCAAGGCATGAGGCCCAGCTGGTTGTGCTTTCTGTTCTAAGCAGTACTTCACTGTGTTTGGGGGTAAGAGCAGAATTTCCCTGGGGCGTGGTATTATTATTATTGGTGTGTGCCTGTGAGATCTTTGCTGCAGTGGAAATGTTTTTTGTAGGAATTAATTTACTCAGGTTGGTACCTGGTGATCCACACCAAAGAGGCTGGCCGCCTTTGTCATTGCTGCACTCTCTTGTGTTGCCCCAAACGCTCACATAAGATGTTATTAACAAGGGATTCTTTGTTGCTCTTTTGTTAAAGTATGAAGAACAGTGCAGTTTGAAGAGCGGAAAGTTGAGATTTAGGAGTTGGTGCTCTGTTCCTGATTGAGCCTGTGCAAGCGTTTCTTAGTACTTGATTGGACTCTTCTCGTTAGCCAAAATGTGCGCTGGATCAGATCTTTCCGCCCTCTGTGCTTTAGGCTGTAAGGCCACGCACGGGATAATATGTGACACATTGCACTGTCCTGATCCTGTAAAGATGGGAGTAGTGAGTCCCTGAAAGTTATCTATGTGTGTTCTTCCCAAATGGGCAGGTTTCACAGCCCAGCCTGTGATCCTACACTTGCAGTCATGCAGTTCTGCAGGGCTGTGGGCAGCAGCCAGGGCTTAGTGTGCCCTAGGCTCTTGTAGAAAGGTCACCTCTCTGTTCTTGTGACTGGTGATTTGCTCGTGTGAGATTTGAAGTAGGGTCCTTCTGGTGTGAGGTACTTTGGAATTGGATGACAGGCCCCTAGGAAAGAGAAATCATGTTTATGACACAGCATACAAATGGAAACTGATTTGATTGATGTTTCATGGTATAGTAACAGAAAGAGCAATGCAAATACTTTTTGGAGCTATGTGGTCTCTTTTTTTCTTCTCTAATAGATGGATGTTCTTTTCCCACCCAGGACTCCTACCACTTACTGCTAAACTCACAACCTGCCATTAAAATAAAGCACTGTGGACTTTCAGCTGTTGCATGCAAATAATTAAAATGGTTAATTAATCCTGACCTCTCTTTAAGGAGCTCCCACTTCACAGCTGTGACTCGGAGTAGGGTTGTCTGTGTGCTAGGTCACTAACAACTATATCTGTTACTCTTTGCAGCTGCCTGGCTGGTCTGCAGTGTCCCAGCCCACGCTGGAGCATTAATTACTGCTAAACTTGGCATGCTTCAAAGGATTCATAACTGATCGGTCCTGGGATGTTTGTTTTTTCTCTCACCTTGGTGATACTGGTTTGGCCCAGCCTCTAAATACACTCTCTGTTGTGATTTTAATTTTTTTATCCTAAAAGATGTATGTTTGTGTCTCTCTTGTTCTCTGTTTATTTTTTTCTCTTTTCACTCAAACATGCTCCCTCCCCCCAGCCTGTTTCGCTGCTTGAGAAAGCCGCGCCTCAGTGGTGTCAAGGGAAGCTACAAGCTCACCTCGTTGCGCAAACTAATCTGCTCCGAAATCAGGTGACTGCTGATCTACCTGCCTCTAACCCTGCATGCGCTATTTTGGGCTCTAGATTGTACCATGCAACTAATCTCTAGGCAACGTTCACTCTAGTCCTCCCTGTTAAGTGTGTCCTTGATACTCCTGAGCCAGAGTGGACACATGGAAGTTGCTGACCAGTGAATGAATCTGTGCCTGCCTTATTGATTTCCAATCACGTGTGTTAATACTGGACTATTGTTTTCTCCCCCTAAAATGAAGTGTGGATGAAGAAAGGCTATGGAATAAAGCCAAGGCAGAGGGTGATGTAGTGTAGTTCCTCCAACTATTGCTTTCTTTTTCTTCTAAGAGAAGCAGTCAATTTTTATTGCTGCTGTTTCAAAAAGGAAAGAAAAAGGAGGAAACGCTGAAAAATTGGCTTCTGCATTTGTGCTGTTGAGTAAAGCCAGAAAAAAAAGAAACATTGTATGGCTGCTCAGTTAGCTTGCAGCATTCTCCTGTGGTAAAATCCAAGTTTTCAATACGGGCACTGTCCTGCCTCTTGTGGTCTAAAAGAGCCATTTCCAGATACACAGAGTTTCAATCTGCATAGAAGAGGTGGGCCCAGATAAGGGAATTTGCACCCTGTGTAATATATATGAAGAGCTCCAGGTTGAAGTCATGGTTGCATCGTGTGGCAAAACTTGGCCTAACGTTTAGGTTACAGCATCTTGAGGGACATGAGAGCAGCTGAGAAACTGCAGGGACTAAGAATTTCAATCCTACTTGCATACGAGAAGCTTGGCTTCCTGATGAAATCTTCCTTGGTATTTACCTTGGAGCTCCTTAAGGGATAAGAGGGAGATGACAGAAAACAGTCGGTGAGAAGAAAATGCTTTTAATGGGCAAGGGATAGTAAATCATTACCCAGACTGGGAGAGTGCCAGTTACCTGCTCACAAGTTCCTGGTGAGCTCATCTGTTCTCATTCAAATGCTCCTACGTTTTCACATTCCTTGTCAGTGAATGAATTGCAGTTTAGAAACACTAAATCGCTCTCACTTTATAAAGCACCTGGGTTTTTCACAGTCAGATTATGACTGCAGATCAGGGGAAAGGCTAGATTACCACATTAAATAAAGCCTGGGGAAGGAACAGCTGTTAGCAGTCCTGCTTAAGATGCATAGCAAAGGGAGGAAATATGTATTCATTCTTGATCGAAGGGAGAAGGGCATTTGACAGGCTGCCAGGGGCTTTTCCTGTGCCTTGGCTGGCCGTGCTGGGAACGATCTGCGTGGTTGTGGTTCTTGACTGGTCTGTTTGGCTGGTGATATTTCTGGAGGACTGGAAAGCAGGTATGGGAAGTTTCTTAAGCCACATGTAAATAAGTAAATCAGCTCTTGGGCATTTTTCCTCTTCTCAGGCTGGCTGGGGTGACTGGTAGTAATACCACCGCCCACAGATTGCCTAGAGAAACAGTACCTACGAATGCTCCCTCATCCACTGCACTATGATCTTAAACAGGCTACTGAGAGTCATTTGATAATTTCACTGTACTGGGTGACTTTGCCCTAAAGCATGTGACAAGGGGGTATGTAATCTTTCCACCCACTTTGTTGAGGGGTGTTAACCTCCTGCTACATAGCATTAGTATTTTCAGTCACTCCAGATATTTTCAAATCAAGTTAAATCCTTCTTTAATTTTTTCCTCTTTCATTCTTGAACTAAATAATACTATTGCCAACCTTAATTTTTTTGTTTCTAATTGTGCGAGTCTTTGAGGCTTGGTTTTGGGTTGGGTTTTTTTTTTCTTTCTTTTTTAAATTTTTATGTTGATTGGGGACTAACCAAAAAAAATCTCAATAAAGAAGATTAGTTTGTATTTTGAAGCTGTAGGTTTTCCAGCTTTTCTTCACAAACATGAGCAGGCAGGAAAAAAAAAAAAAGGCTTCCATTTTTATATTTGCATGACTTCAAGACTGACGGTGTTTCTGACAACCCTTAAATCTCATTAAGCTCTGGATAAAAGCGGGAAGGCTGATGACACTGCATTAATTGAAAAGCTTCTGAATGTTAAGCCTAAAAAAAAAGTCCTTCCCCTTACCAGCAGCTGTGTTGCTGTCTCTTCTTGCCTGATAATTTTACAACCCCCAAGCAAAAATGGGGTCAGCAAGACCTATTATTTGTACTGTAAAACCAAGTCCCTCCCTCCAGTGTGCAAACTACTGGCTTATTAGGCCTTTAGCAGATACTAACAAAAACAATACAGCAAAGGTTTTCTGTAAAGTCTCCTGGGGGGCTTGCTATTGCATGCTCTCAGTTGCAAATTCTGGTGACTGTGCGTTTTGAAACAAAAGGAAAAACGGCTTAGAACAGCAAATTCTTGCCTTTTTGCTAAGCTCCCTGAAATGCTGAATACAGACTAAAAAGTGACATCTTTGGTGCTGCAGTGATAACAGAATGGTATTTCTGTCTGTAGGAGAAAGCCAGCAAGTTGAGTCCTGGGCCACGCTGCCCTTGTGAGAGGCAGGTCTGGCTGGGACTGGAGGGGGCTTGGGCCTGGGGTGGGACACCCAGCTCTCCTCCCTACCCCTGCCTGGTGGGTGTCTAAACTGTTTACTGAGCAGTGTGTAATTACCACAGTTCACAGCAATAGTGTTTGAAGAGAAACGGTCACCAGATTGCCTGAAAGCACCAGGCTGGCTATCTCCAGACACTCATGAGTGCTGGGATGCATGATGGTAGGAAACATAATGGGGAATAACTGTCCCCCATCATAACTGAACTGGTTGTGCTTGGCACTCTGAGCCTTGGCTAGGGGGGAAGTCAGGAAAGCAATTGTGTTATCTAGCTCCTGCTCAAACCTTCCCCCTTTCAGGCAGGGAAAAGAGAGGAAGAATTTTTTGAGATCACATTTCATGGACCTGGGCATTATGTCCTTCTGCCTCAGTTTTCCATCAGGTTGGCGATGATGACAGCTGAAATAGAAAGTGCACAGATACGGTAGTGATGGGCTGTGGCCCCGAAACCTATGTCTTTCCTCCTTTCCCCACTGTACTGCACAAGCTGGCTTTTCTTCTAGCAGGGCTCATGACCAAAGTTGACGTCTGTCTTTGGCTCTGGCTGGAAGCAGTTAGGGCTATCCATTGTCAGGACCCCTGCTTCCAAGCAAAATAACTCCCACTGGTGGGAAGATCCCTGGGCTGCCAAAGGAGTGAAGAATTAATTCAATGCTATACCTGGGACTGAGAGCACTAGGTGAGCTGCAGGCACTAGATGGATCCCTGATTCCTACAGCTGCTCTAGAGTGAACGTTGCCTGTTGCTGATTTTGCCTTTGCCTTGGGATGTTACAATATTCACACGTTGCTTTCTAGGTTCTTTGACCTTCTGAACGGGTAAACGAGAGAGGGAAAGACTATTATTAATATTCACTGTATCTGAAAACCTAACAGCATTCAATGGTGCCTCATCTCCCAGCTATCCCATCTCCTGGGTTGATTCAGGTTCCAGTCTAGTTTGGAAACCAGAATAAGATAAAGCCAAAGGATGGACTAGCATTTTTCTTTTTTTTTCTCCCTTTAAAATGGTTACACTAGAAACATTCATTTGTAGAGGCATTTTAAGGCAGAATGAGGCTTTGTGACTATCATCTCTGATCCAGCATAAACTGTGTCTCTGTTTAAATGGGCTTTTTGTTTGTTTTCTGCAAACTCTCTTGAAATGTTGGGTTTTTCAGCGAGTGTAGCAGTGAAATACAGGGTTTTCTGGGTGGAAGCATCATGGTCCCTTCTCCCCCTGGCTGTTCATCACAAGGTCTGCTTAACCTTTGAATACTTCCCAGTTGTGTCTTTTTCTGGGGGAAACTTTGTTTTCTGACCTTGAGTACAAAGTCTTAGCCTTGCCTTTGGCAGCAATGAGCAACCCTTTGAAAGTTGGAGCTAGCTAGAAGGTAGGAGCTTCTGCGGTGTGCTCATAAGTCAGGAGAGAAATGGAGAGTGTAAAGATCCTATGCAACACTGTGAGGAACAGGACTCTAAACTGCAAAATATTTTTAAGTCCTTTCTCCCATCAATCTAATCTTTGCATACCTGTCACTTTGCATACCTGTCACATTAATTTCTTTAATTAAGCTGGCACAAAGAAGGTAAAACTTCATTTCATGGAAGAGGTAGGAATCTGACTGCAGGCTCATAGATCCACTTCCCCAGTGGCTTGCGGGCTTTTTGCAGAGCCCTGTGGCGTTGTGACATTCCTGCTGTTGCCACACATATAAGTAGGCACTCGTGCTGACCTTCCTGTTAAGATGTCACATTGCTCATGCAGGGATTTGCCATCCTGCATCCCACTGCACAGGGTTATGAGAGAATGCTGTGCTGTTGCAAATTACAGAATAGAAGTGTTTTAATTAGCAAGCTTTGAGTTTTAAGTCAGGGCACTGAAAAGAAAGAGGTCACCTAGGACAAATATGGGAAGGGGAATGTGCTTGTTGCTGACATCTGCTGTCAGCATCAGAAAACAGGATCATCCTATTCATCACTGAAATCTGGCAGAATTCATGTATCAGTGTTGGGGTCTGTCAAATGAACAGATCAAATTTAACTCTCAACTGGGAGAAAGAGGTCCTGTACAAGGCATATTTCTTTTGGTGTTGGTGGCCAACAGCCAGCCAGGGATTGCTCTTGTGTTAGATCCTCACCGATTAGAGTATGTGAGACTGCTGAAACCAAGACCTGCTGCTCAAGCACTCCAGCCTGGCCTCCTGCTGGCACAACTCATGCTTTGCATACCCTTCCTTGCTTCCAGCTTTGCGAGAGCTGTATCAGCCAAGGATGCAGACCTCCTCCCTTCCTCAGAAGAGATGGGGCTTTGGCATGACCTTACCCGAGCAGAGAGTCCCCGTGAGGGAGGGCTCTTCTTCAACGCCATTTGGGATGGATTTCAACCCTTTCAGAGACCTGGCAAGGGGCAGGGGCCACTATTATCTTCATCTGTGTCCAAGCTGGAGGCTGAATTGCCTGACCAGCTCCATTTGGTTTTTGAAGCCAGGGAAACTTAAAGAACTTAAAACGCATTAGTGGATGTTTGAATTACTTTCTGAGTATCCAAACAGGGAAATCCATTGAGAGAAAATCTGAGAGTAACACGTGCAAGCTGAAGGGGCATCATGTCACTTGTGATGCAACCCTTGTTCCTGGGAGGCTCATTTGGGATGGGGATTACCCCATGCCAGAATTTTGCCTGGTCTCCCAAGGAAGTCAAAAGAGTCACAGTTGTCCCAGCCCTGCAGGGTACTTGTCTGCACTGGAGCTGACAATCTCCCTTCTCTGTTATTAAGGCTGAAGAAGAGTTAGTAAAGGCTCAGAAGGTGTTTGAAGAGATGAACGTTGATCTGCAGGAGGAGCTGCCTTCACTATGGAACAGGTGAGCACTGAAAGTTTTGCCAAGGGCTGGTTGAAAGGAAGCAAAGACCCTAGCTCTTGTATCACTGTTCTCCTTAGCTTGGGCTGGGTGTCTGCTCTTGTTTTCTGGATCATCTCAGGGCATCTGTCCTAGGATTCCCTCCAGCCAAGTTCAGCCTGGGCTTTCTGTGCTTTGTGTCATGATCCTCATGAAAAACTCAATTTTACTGCAAAAAGAAACTGTGTTTCTATGCTTTGTCTGATTAATCCCTTTGCCCCACCAACTCTGCCCAACTTTCCTGGGCAGTGGCCCAGCTTCTAAGATTTTGGATGTGGAGCTGGCTGGAAGGAACATCTGCAGCTGAGTGGGTATGTCAGCTGACTGATTAAAGGAAGATGAGATGTCAGAGGGGTTTATACAGTCACTGGAGTTGAAGGGAGCCAAGAGGTGGTGCCTTGATCATTGTGTCTCACCATGCAAACTTATGAGCACCCAGTGAAACAGCAGGGTTAACACAAGAGGGTGGATGAAAGGACAGGTTGCTCTGCTTTGGATGCTACTTTGAGGTTTGGACAGTTGGGTGAACAAAGGTGAGGGAAGGATCCTCGTGTGGCTGCCCCTAGATGTGCTCCTGGCTATGTGACTTGGGACTCGGTGAGGAACTAGTGGTTATAACTGTCCTCTTGTGCTCTAATTAACAAAACATAGCCTGGGCAGAGGAAGATGGGCTGAGAGAATAGGAGGACTTGAGAGACCATGGATTTGCCATACCAGTGATTATGGTGATGAAAAGGGAGGAGAAAGAAACAGACCAACACTTAGTTTGGAGCATGAACTGGAGGGCAGCAGAAGCTGAAGTATCGGGAGGGCACAGTTGAAAGCAGGCAAAATCCTCCTAGGAGTGTCCCAGTTTCTTATTTTTAAATGCAATGATCACATTTGGGTTGGCAGTGCTGGTCTGTGGAGGATGGAGAGAGTGGGTGGCAGCAGGGCTGGAAAGTAAAGTGCTGATGTCTGCCTTCACTCCCCTTTCCTCCCAGCCTAGGTCAGGACTCTGCTCAAAGCAGTGTGCAGGCCTGGCTGAGGAAGGAGATGGGAGGGATGCAGGCATCTGGGTGGTTCCACGTGCAGAATGGTGATGCTGCTGGCCTTAGAGAACATCTACCTCCTGCTGTTGCTCCTCCAGCTGGGTGCTGGTATGGCACTCTCTGTTGGCAGCTGGTGGGGTGGCTGGAGGAAGGAGGGCAACAGGCAGCTGCTGGGATTTTAAGGTGCCACAAGTTGTTCACAGCCTCCTGCTATCTAGCTGATCCTTCTGCTTTCCTGTTGCTCTCTGTGCCTATACTGTGCTTTCTTACTCTTCTGCCCCTGAAGCAAACAGTTCATGCTTTTTGGCTTCCCCTGGTGCTGAGGGACTTCAGAGTGAATTAATATGTGTCCTCCTGCCAATTTCCCCAGCTCTCCCCGCAATCCATCTGTGTCACAGCCTCTATCCTTTTCCTTTCCATCACCCTACCAGTGGCTTTTTTTTTTCTTATTTCCTTTTTTTTTTTTTTTTTTGTCCCTCCCTCCTAGCTAGCACAAATTCAGATCCTATCCCACCTGGCCTTCTCCTCACCTTGGACATGTTTGCCCTATACCTGGCCTTTGCTCTATCACCCCCTTCATGCTTCTTTGCTGCCCTTCTCTTCCAGCATGTACCAGACTTGACAGAGTTGAGTTTGAATGGGAATGGTGGGTGGGAGGTAGCAGAAGGGGCAGAATTGAAAGTTTTTGGGAGAGCATTGTGTCCATTAAGTTCTTCTGTCTCATTTTTCATTTGGCAGTCGTGTTGGTTTCTACGTCAACACATTCCAGAGTATAGCAGGCCTAGAAGAGAACTTTCATAAAGAAATGAGCAAGGTAAGGCAACTAAAACTTATTCTGCTAATAAACTCTCTCCTCGCTGTTAATAAAAAAAAAAACAAAAAACCCCAAACCCCCAAACAACTGAAAAAAACAGTTGGAGAAAACAGAATGTTTGCCCTAAGTCAGAGGAAAATGTTAACCCTTAGTTTCTTCTGAGCCACTTGGGAGAAAGGCTGTCTGAGATAGGGATGGAGCACAGGGAACTGACCATAGGGCCATGCAGCAGTGGGGAGTTTGTGTCACTTGACAGAGCTCATTTGCAGATCCACAGAGGGAAGGAAAGCCACTTTCAGGCCTATCTCTTGTTGCCTTTTTTAGTTCATCTACATTATGGATCTGTAACCTATAACCTGGGCACTCTCAGCCTGGTATCTATTTGCCTCCTTCTCTGCTGCCTGGCAGCAAGTTGCTGTGAACCCTCATCTGTCTAGCTGTGGGGATGAAAACAGCAGGGAATCTGCCAAACTGCAAGTCAGCTGAAGTCTGAGACCTGCCTCACTCTGGTCCCTCAAGAAGGCACTTCCCAGCAGTACCTCTCTGCTTTGGCTTCTTTCCTGCCCTGTGACGCAAGAGAAGGCATTTGAGTGCTTAGCGTGGCCCTTGCATTGGCTACCAGTTGGCCATGAGTTGGGAATCGCAGCAGTAAGCAGTGTTGTAACCTGGTTGTGGGCAGGCTGGGTCCTGGTGCTGTGTGCCAGCGCCCAGCAGAGACCTCAGGAACAGTCTCTGGCAAAGCCCCCCATTGCCGCTTTCATTTACAAATATGTTCTTGTTCTTTCACTGAAAAGCTAGAGAAGTCTTGAATTCCTTAGGTTTGTACGCTGCTCCTAAGAGTTGCACACCCTCTGTAAAATGTTGCACTAATCTTGATGAGTGACTGAGAGCCCAGCTGGAAAACTCTTGTATTCCCTCCCCTCCCCAATGTCATCCTGACAACAAGACAGCCGCTAAGCAACAAGCAACATTATAGTCCTTCAATTCCCAGCACTCAGGGGCCCTCTGCCTTGGTGTAATGCATCAATTTTGAGCCCTGCTGACATTTCATGGAGACCTTTCCAATTAATAGCCTGCTCTTCTCCACTGAGGGATGAACTGATTGTTAAGAATAGGGAGGATTGTTATAATTATCAGTTTGTTGCTGTTAATTTATATTCAGCAAAACATGGGAAAGATGCTTATTAGACAGGAATTCTCTTCTTATATCATGTCTTGGATGTTTCTTTCCTGAGGAGTTTCATATGAGAGCAGGTCTTTTGCTTTGTTCCATAAGAACCATCTGTTTCTTATTACTGCTATAGCATCCAATTTACTGCTGGTATTGCTGGCATGATGCCTCCAACATTGATTGCATTGGATCCCTCCTCCTACCAATGATAAATCTGGCATCTCATCTTGTTTATGAATTGGCTGTTTGAGAATAGGAGTGTCTGGAATGAATATTGCAGCCTTCGGCGCTAGGGAGAGTTTAACCCCTAATATTGCATTTCTGCAAAGATAGCCAGGTCCTGCCCAAACCTAGACGGCCTAGGCAGCCTGTGAAGTCAAGGCTTATTGTTCACTGGAAGTCCAGCTGCCTTTGGCTCCACAGCTTAAATGGCCATATCCCAAGGTTTATAAGCAGGTCTGAGGAACAGCTTTGGCTACAAATCCAGAGTGAAGCTTCAGTTCTAGCACATAGACCCTTAGGTAAACATTCTGCCCACTTCTTCAATGGTACCTGGCAGCACACCGGTGGGGACAGGTGATAGAGAAACAAAGAGGATGATGTGTAAGGGAGACAGAGCATTCCCACGAGGTGCCAGCAGCTCTTGAACAGTTGAATGCTCTAGTGTTTCATACCCCATGGAGGAGTGGAAACAGATGTAGGGCTGTCCTCTCTTGGGATAGCTGAGTATGTGCACATGTCTGGGCACAAGCCTGTGTTTGGTCAGGCTGTGCAGGCTGGCCCAGACTCTCTTCTGGCATTTAGGCTCTTTTCTCATTCTTTTTCTTTCTTTTGTTTTTGTATTTTGCAGTTGAACCAAAACCTCCATGATGTCCTGCTGGGTCTAGACAAGCAGTACTCAGGCAATGCCTTCCCCGTTAAAGCACAGCCCAGGTCAGTAACTGTGGGAGTAGTGTCTTTCCCTCATCAGGGGAGGAGGGACAGGGATGTCTCTATCAGGGGTATTGAAACCTCCATATTGTCAGTTGGGCAGTGATTTGACTACCTGCATATAGCCAGTCAGCACCCTCCTGAGACTCCCTAGAACATATCCAAGATTGCGTTTGGGGCTGGGTGACACAATGCAATATCTCTTACTTTTCTAAACTAGCATCTGGAGGCTTAAACTTTCACTAAGTGCTGATATTTAGGCACCTGACTCTCAGCTCTGCTTTTTTAAAGTCAAATTCCATGCACTAACATATAATACTGAGCTGCCCTTCTTTCTGGGTCCAGTTGCCCAGCACCTGTCCTGTTCTTTCCCTCAAAAGCTTCCACCATGTACCTGCAGCTTGTGAACTTGAGCACCAAGAGCCCATTTGTTTCCCCAGCTTTCTCTCTGGCCCTCCCTCCAAACTTGCAACCACTCGTGTGCCAAATCCTTATGCCCCTCCTGTGTACCCAGCTGAGGTGTGTTCCTTTGTGTGTGTTGTGGAAGTAGTTGTAGCCTCACTAACATGAGGCCTCCTGATCTCAGAGCACTTCCAATCTGCACATATGCAAGGAGTGAGCGTCCTCCAGGCATTTAGTTTTCTTTCCTCAGCTGGGTCCAGTTCTGTATGATTAAGTGCAAGTCTGCACATTCTCTAGCACTGAGAGGGGAGGGAGAGGCTGGGCTCTGGAAGAGGCTGTCTGGCTCCCATCCAAATGCGTGAGTGATGAAACAGTGTTGGGCTCTGGCTTCCAGCTGCTGCTAATCCCACGTGCTGGGTGAGCAGGAGCACGGCCCAAGTCCTCAATTGGTATATTGATGGAGGGAGGAGGTGAAGTCAGCATGAAGTAAGGGCAAGCTGCAGTCTCTGAGTGCATTGATTTGGAAGGGCTAGATCAGCTGTTGAGACCGCTGTGCTCCCTTGTCTCTCCTCCCAGTTTAACCTCCTATTGCTGTCATGCATAGATGACTTGAGTGTCTTGTTCCAGCAATCTGTGTGGTGTTTGCCAGCTCTAAAGAAAGAGGATGTCTGAGTTGAATTCGGCCCCTGAGTTTTGGATTGCCAACACCAAATTTCCAACATGCTAGTAGGAATGTTTCTTGTGAAAATAATATCTTCTTCCCAAGTTAGCATGTGGTGTCTGTTGATCATCACAACCCAGCAAGACTGAAGCCTCGGGAGGAGGCCGTGGTGCCCATCCTCTTGCTGCCATGTGCCGTGTTGTCTCTGATAGCAGCATCCTCCAGGGCCCTTGGAAGAGGATGAGGTAATGGGACAGATGAAGGCTGTAGCTATTGTTTTGCCCAGCTCCTTCCTCCTCCTTCCTTTCTTCCTCAAGGAAGAGATTGCAGGCTGTAGTGACAGCCTGGCCCAGACATGTTCATTGTTGTTGTGGCATGAAGTTTCTGGCCTGAAAGAGCTTCCAATGAATAAATTACCTGTCCTCATGATTCCCACCCCACAAACTGCTAGCTTCATCTGGGGCTGTAATGGGTGTCTCGGCTGCAGTTCTGTGCTCTTCGGCTGGCTACAAGACCTAAAAACCAAAACCAAGCACACACAGAGAGGTCCTGGTGTGGGTATCAATCTGAGTGCTGCTGCTTCATCACTTACTCCCTGCATTGCAGCTGAGATGCCAGACCTGCCCCAGAGCGACTCTCTTCCTCCTGAGCGCAGTGGAGCAGGGTGTAGTAGAAGGTCGTAGCAAAGGTTTGCCGGGGTAGTAAATGTGCTTTACAATGCCCAGGAAATGCTGTGAGGCACTCCTGTCTCCCCTGCACATCTGGCCTCTCACTGTGGTGCAGGGCTGGAGCGAGAGTGTGCAGGAGGAAATAGCCCTCGCTGATCTGATTGCTTATTGTGGTCTGCAGTAGGAGCAGATGCTTCCCTAACACTTCTCTACTGGGAAGGGGATTGGAGATGGATACAATGGCAGGAAATGAATGAGGAGGTGTGAGAAGAGAGGCAACTATCTGTGCACATCATTATGGCATTCATGCAAGGCCCTACAGAAATATTACTGTGGCTGATGAATCTGATGCTGGCTGTGTAGCACAGTAGCACAGAGCAGCTGATGTATTTCTGGGAACCTCAGACATATGTTCAGGATTTGTTTCTGAAAGAGTTTGAACATTCAGGGCTCAGATGCCTAGAAGACCTAGGACATCTGTAGTGTTATCCTAGTATGATTGGACAAACTGGAAAAAGATGTAGTAGGAAAGCTGCTGATTAGGTTCCACGTATACGACTGTGCACAGATTGCATAAGTAAAGGAGAATGGGGAGCTTGTTTCTTGTGTACCAATATTTACAGGGGCGAGTGAGGACCTGTGATTACCTGTGAAAAAAGGACATTTACAGTTCTCTGCTGGTCTATACATTTTCCTTTTTCTTCTTCTCCATGTGCACCCTGGTCCCATATTCCAAAGAGCAGGGAAAACACTAGTTTGCTCACATATACGTAGATCTCTGACAGGTACAAAAAGCCCTCTTACCCTCTTCAAACCAGGCCATAGCTTTCTAGGAACCAAGGGAAGTGTGTAGATGTTTGTGTGTGTGTGTGTATGTGTGTGTATCTGTGTGTGAAAGGGAGAGAGAGGAGAACTTGCCATCTTGATTACAGTGAGTTTTGTGGCACCAAGTGAATGGGTGCTCGGAAGCTTAACTTTTCCTCCCTGGTTTGACTGTGCCATCCTGTAACGGAAATGATTTGCGTGCCATCCTCAACAGAAAGAAAACTAAACTGTTCGCCAGGCTGAGGAAAAAGATGAGCAGGTACCGGTACGGGGAGCAGTATTTTGATACGTGTTTGGTTTAGTTCCTAAAACTGGAGAGGCTGTTGCTGGACTCTAACAGCCTGGCACGTGTTAACCCTGTGATGGGAGAGGGGTCCTTTGCATGATAAGATGTGTTCATGGCCTGCTGGGTCCTGCTGAGATCTATCTGTGTCTGGATAATCCCATTAACTGCTTGTGTGCCTGGTTTGTATCCTTGCTTCTTTTCCTATCTAAGAAGGCAGTGTGAAAGCTCAGGCATTGTCTGTTCAGTTGTTTTTCTGTGACTAAAAGCGTGGTGCTGGGTTTTTCCATGGGAAATATGGGCAATTTTGGCGATTAACAACTTCGAGTTTTACCTAGTGGGGTTTGCCCTTTTGAACAGGTCTGAAATGCTGCATTCTCATTCCCTGCCTGGCTAGGGAGGACCATGAGGCAGGTCTTTCACATTCAGAAGTCCTGTCCTATCTACCTGTTGCAGTTGGGAGGATGATGAGGTGGGAGAAGGACACTTCCAGCTTTGCTCCTTACTTGCTCTGTTCTTGAGAATCCCCACTATCTTGCTCCATCCATTTAAAATTTTGTGCAGGGCTGAAGGAAAAGGAAGCCTGTTGTCTTGTATAAAGACTAATGTAAACATCTTGCATTTCAAGACAGTGATGGCATTGAATAACTGGATTGCTACAATGCCTAGAGTTACCATAGCCAAGGTCAAGGACTCTGACAAGAACATGGTCTGGAGAAAAGTGGGAATTGCTGCATAAAGGCATGGAAACTTCCACTAATTTTTGTTTTTCTTTGTCTTTGTGTTGGTACTCCTTCCATGGGGTCCTTGTAGGAAGAAAAAAAAAATTCTTAAGATGATATTCTGCCAGCAATAAAAGCACATGCTGGTGGATTGGGATCCTTGCTTTTCTGATCCTGGCTTCCCGTTGACTGGGGCAAGTCACACAACCCTTCTCTTTCTCTGCTATGCATCCTTTGTAAAGTGGGAGGTTGGAGCATGAAGAATGGGAATTTCATAGGCAAGCTGCTGGGCAAATCTTGATTTTTATATCCTCAAATGAAAAGTAGTGAAGGGGACTGTCTTGTGTTGTTATTATTCTAAGGTTTTCTACTGTAGGAAAAGGAGGATTCACTGGAGTACTTCTCTGGATGTCTGTCTCTGGTCCTTGGTTGGACCAGTGTTGCACCTGGACCAGGCAGGAGGTCTTATATTTCCAGTCACTGAGAATGGATGGATGCTATAGCAGGGGGAGAGCTAGTAAATCTCATCTCAATGAGCTCTAGCCACAGTGTCCTCCTGCTCTGCCCTGATGAAGTCCAGCTGGCCCAGGAGTTAAGGTGGCTGACCTGGGCTGTGCTGGGGGTTTCTGCTGTCAGAGCAGCTGCTGGGGTCACAGAAGTGTGCAACCTCTGGTGCAGGGAAGGAGAGACTGAGACTCAGTCACTCTTTGATCTGCAGCAACATTGCACATTTGTGCCACTGTATGTTTGTGTATGTAGGTGCTTTTTCTTCCTTTCTCCTGCTCCCTGCCTGCCACTGCCTCCCCTCCCCCCCTTTTGTTTTTTTAAATAATTCTCGAGCCTAGTTTGGTGCTGAAAATTAAATTACTTTTGCCTAAAAGGTTCTGTCTGAGCCTTAGCTGAGATGCCAACCTTTTTTTCTTTGTAACTTGAGAACTTGGCAGGAGGTGACTGGTCTGTTTTTACCATATTGGAAAGTAGGTTTCATCCTCTAATGTAGGATTGTTACAAGCACATGGGAACCCCATCTGCAGATGTTACTCTGCTCTTCCAGACCAGATGAGGCAGCCCCATGAGGGGTCTGGGAGCTCAGCAGCATTAAAAGAGGCTGGGGGATTTGGGCTTTCCCTTCAGCTGCAGTAACTGCATTAGACCCTGTTCCCAGCTCTCTATTTGCAGAAGAAAGTTGACACCCTGTTCCCTTCCCTGCCTGATATTCCTGGATTTGGCATCACTTCCCAATTGCTCATGGGAAGGAAAAAGAGAGAGCAATGACCTTGTCGTTTTGACTTTCTTTTACTGTGGTGCTGATGTTTGGTCAGTGGGGACAGTACCCACGCTCTTACTTTTCCCTGTGTTTCCTGGAGCAAGCAGTCAGTTTGGAGACAGGACTTTGCTCTGTGTGGGCAGTGTGTGCTCCCCGAGGACCCATGAAGGACAGAGGATCCTGGTGACAAGCTTGCTTGACACTGCTTGCACTGGCTAAATGCGTGCAAAGCAATGAGTGCAGGAATGAAGGTGCCACTCGGGTGGCTGGAAAAGGCTCAGCCAAAATTAGCACTGGCATTTTCCTAGGGGGATCAGCCAACACATCAAACAAGCTGTAAATAGTAGTGACTTAATGAAGGCCTTAGTGCGGGGCCCTCTCAGGCCTTGTAGGATGAGGGGAAGAAACTGGGCTCCCTCTCACATGGGAGCCTTTTACCAGTATATCTCCAAATTAAGTCAGTGGTAGGCACCAGATATAAGGCACTAAAAAGCTGTTTCATGGCCTTTAGAAATAAGCCTGAACTCCTTTCCCGCTGGGTGAAATGGCCTCTTCAGATCCCTAGAAGAATTCTACCCTTTCGTTGGTAGGCCAGCTGATAGCCTGTAGTCCCAATAGTCCCAGTGTAGTCTGGGTATTTGAGGAGTCCTAGCAGTCTACCTGTAGATTACTGCTGCCCCCCATCTTCTCTAAAGTGCTTTCAACTCTAGGGAAGGTAGGGTGGGGTTTTTTTTTTCCTCAACTCTAGCATCGCAGGACATTTTCTGTCGTTTTCTGCTGTTCCCTGGTGACTTCCATTTAGAGCAGAACTTCCTTACCTTCACCCTCCAACCATTACTTCTTTTAATCTGTAGCACAGCCACGTCAATTTGGCAGAATCCTTCACACAACCCACTGTTTTGAAGTGATTTTTGGGGACCTCTGAGCAAGGACACTGTAGGCATATCCAGTCAAACTGAAGAGCTGCAGGGGTTGGCACACATGTTCTTTAGTCCCTCGTCTTCCTTTTTTCCTCTTCCTTTCCCTCTTTTTCCCTTGGCGTGTGTGGTCCTGGTTGAGAGCTACTGGCAGAGAACATCATTGGGTTTGTTGCATCATGTTGGTGTGCTGCTGGCATTGGTGTAATCAGAAACATCTGACCTGCATGCGGACCTGAGAACAAGCGCTTTGTGGGGAAATGTGCGTGTGGTTTGTGGATATCGATATGGGGAGAGGGTGGGGGGAATGGGTGAGGGCGAGGTGAATGAAGAGGGAATGGGATGGGGAGCTTGAAAGCTGGAATGCTGAGCAGGGGGAGATGCTTGCTTGGAAGGGGAGGTTTGTTGAAATGCCTTGCTGTCCCTTCCTCCTCTTGCTGTCCCCCTACTGTGAGTGTTTAGGAATGAGGCCATCATGCATGTTGGCCAACGGCCACCACACCTCAGGCATCCAAGTGTGAGTGGATGTACATGTCTGGAGCTCTGGGCTGTCTTGGGACAGAGCAATGAAATAATCAACTTGATGTCCCTGAAGAATCAGGTCTGCATTGCTCTAGTCCTGGCTTTATGCCAGGATTTATTGTCTCAAGTAGTAGGAAAGGATCTGTTCCTTCTCACAATGCCTTTAACTTCGCAAGAACTGCAACTTTGTAAATGGGGCCAAATATCACTCCCTGTGGATGAGGTTGCACAGCCCTCTTGCAATATTCTGTAATACTCTGTTTTCAGCTGTGTATAGTTTTGCCAAACTGTAACCACTTCTGCTAAAATATCCCCTACCAGTGTCTGTGCTTCTGCATGACTTGAGATAAATTGATTAGTTTGGGGAGCTGAATTTCAGCCAAGATGATTCAGCTGTTCTGGAGAATTAGGCTGGGAAAATGGTTTTACCTTTACCCCTGTTGAAATTCCCTGGTAACCAACTTTTTACTAAATCTCTCATTATTCCATACTTTGAAACACAGACTTGACACTTGGCCAGGGCATGCCATTAGGGAAAGGCGTGTGCCTCTTGCCATTCCTTTGAAAAATCTCTCCAAAGCTGGCCAAGTTATGAACCAACAAATGCCATTGGCATATGCTCCTTGCATCTTAATTCCCTGAAGAATCCCTCTTGACTGTGTGTCAGAAACAGTCCTGGAATAAGGACCAACTGGAAAAGCAAGGGCAGAAGGGGTTCATCATGGAAAACAAGGCTGGGGAGACTTCCCATAATAGAGAAATGTTTTTTTAGTAGCCAGAATCTCACTGTTTCTTTGCTGTCTGGAATGATCTGTGAAACCTCTGGCTACTTTGCCCCTCTTCCAGCTTTCCCAGTTTGTACCGTGTAGTGGAATATGATATTCTATGATTACAGCCTTAGTTCAGGTATTGCAAATCTATTAGTCATAACCCACGTGGGTGTCAGTACACTACCATGCAGAAAAATTCCTACCTGTAGAATTTAAAACTAAATGAGCTGCACAGAACTCCTTCCCCCATCTGCTTCCCCAGTATTAAAAGACTATGACTTAATGTCAGGCACTTGTGTTAGAATCTAGCAGAATTAAGGATGCCTGTTTTTTTTGTTTTCATTTTTCTCTGTCTGAGGCAAAGTATATCCATGCAGTAGGAATTTAGTGAGTAGCCTGCTGCACAGTAATGCTGCTGCAGTGCGTTGGACTGCAAGTGACTCAGCAAAGATGCTTCTCAGAAGCTTGTAGAGGCTTCAGATGTCTTCATCATGTGTCTGGGCAGCAAAGCAAAGAGATAATGGAGGCCACTGATCTGTGCTGGTTAGCACAACTCCTCTTAGGCCTGGCTCAGACTTCTCTCTCTTTCTCTTTTCCCTCTCTCTCCCTTTCTCTCTCCACTTCCTTCAGTGACAGCACCCCAGCGAAAGCAAATAAAAGCCCCTCGCCTCCACCGGATGGATCTCCCATCACCAGCCCTGAGACCAAGACTGTGAACCATGAGCTGGAACCGTCCACTTTGGAAGCGCCTGGTGCAAGCATCCCAAAGTCACCATCTCAGGTAGTGTCCCCATGACATTGACCATGTCTCTGCAGTATGACAGCTGATGGCACAAGCCCTGTGAGTCAAAGACATCCATTAGTTGCTTTTTTGGATCTCTTCCTGCTACTGAGCACAGAGAATGTGACATGATGGTTGTTCTCCTTCACTGGTTCCTGAGGGTTCTTGAGAATGCACGTTGCTCATTGGTCATCTCTATATCATATAGGGAAGAACTGAGCTGTCTCTGAATGCCTCTACAGGGGCAAGGTCACTAATACATTTTGCTGTCTGGTAGGATGACCAAGAAGATCCAGGGAGGATAGAGTTGTAGCTAGGCAAGGAAGTTTGTTCTTCATATTTGAATTAACCTGTGGAATTCAACGGTCCAATTTCTTCTCAAGAACTTCCATAACTGAAGAAGGTTCAAAGAAAAAGGTTTAACGTTGATAAAGAGAACACCTGTACTTTGCATGATGTTTTACTTTAATCCCAAGATAAAATATTATGCTAAAGATAAAGGCATTATATTCTTACGCTATGAAAAAAATTAGGTGGTTACCAGGAAGATGACTGCCCATTATATGGAGTCTGATACCTTCCATGTGGACTTTGTTAGTCCTTTCCTTACACAGCGGATACCCAGCACCATGTTTAAAATAACAGATGTAGCTCCTGCGACTCAGCATTTCATATGATATGTTTCATTTCAGGATTGAAGGAAAATAAAACATTCACTTCCTCTTCCCACCCCTCTATTGCTGAGCGGGGGAAAAGCTTAGTAGGGAAAAGTAGTAACTAGGCCAAATTTATGTCTGGTGCCAATCCTTGCATTTCAGTAAGTGGCACACCAGGGAGGAGTCTTCCAGGAAGAGTTAAAGCTGAGAGGGGTTCTGGCCAAACTGGTAAGAGAAAGCCTATTGCTTCTGAAAAGAGATGGATGCGGCCCAGAACTTCTTGCTGTTGTCATATGTAGCGTGTGATTCCCAATCCAGGCCTGTGGTGTAGGCTTGTCTCCTGTTTCTGGATAGCCTATCACAACACTTTTCTCTCCACTGCATTTTTGATTTTCAGGACTAGCTAGGGACAAAAAGGGGCTGTTTGTACATTGGCAAAAGCATCTTTTGCAGCCCTGTGAGACGTGTGGGTGCCTGGCAGTGTCTTTTCAGGACTTCTCCAGGGTCTCTGCACTGCTCAGCATTGCACAGCCTAGAGCAGCTTCGCCACCACGCTGGCTAGGACCTTGGAGTAGGGTATGTGTACGGGCGAGAGAGGATAGTGCATCCAGAATTGCCTTCCTGTTTTTTCAGAGATTGACATAACTTGACTGAAATTTGGAACAAGAAATCGTACAGATTTATTGAGCTGTTCACTGCAGACTTCACTCACCCTGCCTGTGGACTTGTCTTGCTGAGTTTGGCTTCTTCCCTTTCCTTTAAATAGCACATATAAGCCTTGTTTTTGCCAGCCTGCAAGTGCTTTCTCATTCACTTGCTGCCTTCCTGCCCGCAGGAATGGGGCTGGAGGCACCCCTTGTCGAGCAAGCAGAATGTTCCAGGGCGGCCCTGGCTGGAACCTCAGATGGGCCACTGGCAAGACTGAAATGGTATTTGCAGCTAATGCTGCCACCGTCTGGCAGCTCTTTTCCAAGAGCTGTATTTAATTCATTCTCCCAGGTCTCACTACAGTGAAGAGCAAGAGCTCCACTCTGTATTCATACTAGGTGCTAAGAGGTGGAGCTGGCTCCAGAGGGAGGGAAGACAAGGACAGGGGTTTCATACTCAGAGCCTAGTGTCTATATGGACAAACTAAGTGTGTGTCAGCTTGCCACCCAGCTGGAAAACACAAGTGTCTACTCTCTCAACAGTGTTCGACTAATACTGAAATTTTCACAGGTGTCATTACTTTTGACCTATGGGTAAGTGATTTATTCTAGGGTCCTCCTAGGGGGGCTATGGGACTCACCCTCTGGGGAAGGATGGAGCAAAAAGCAACAAGCAAGTGGAATTCTCTGGCCTCTTCCTGTCTGAAATACCAATGCAAACTATAAGCAAAGGGTGTGGAGAAAAAGACGGCAAAACAGGAGAGACCAAATAAATACTGACTAAATTTTGATCTGTTCCCTATGCCAAAAAAATAGCTCTTTTACTGTCCTTTAATTCTCAAAACCAGCTTACTTCTGTCTTTTGGAAGAAGCGACTGCTATCAACACTCCGCACTGAGTAATTTGATGATGACACAGGACTTCAGGGGTCTGTGAAATTTCAAAGGTCAGACTTTTGCTCTCAGTTACACCACTGCAACACTGTAATGACACTTTTGAAATTGGTGCAACTATGTTGAATTTAGACAGGTAAAGAAAGCTCAGTGGGATCCAAGTCAGCAGAAAATTTTAGAGGATTTGTTTTATTCTAGGCAGCGAAGTTATTCATGCTTGATGAATTTCCAGGTATAACCCAACATCAATATGCAGTCTTGTTGTCTTTGAAATGTTGTTTTAGACTGCAGTTGGAGGTAATGCTGGACACTGTGGAAGTGGTGGTCTACAAGACACTAATGCATTTGAAGGAAGGAGACTGACTATTTTAGAGAAATAAATATAAGAAGAATTGGGATCTTTTTTACTCTAGAGTTTGTAATTGGAGCCTCCCATTTCTGCAGATGTTGGCTCTGTTCTGAGAATAACTTTTCCCTGAAATTTCTGGTCCCTTCTTGCAACTGGCAAGCAGTGGATTTTCAGGAAGGGATTGTTCTCAGGGAATATGGACATACCACCTTCTGCAAGCTGTGAAAATTTGGAAGTGAACACACTACTTTCACTATTTTCCCTAGCCAGCTATTCAGTAGAAAATGTGTTTGCATACTCAACTCATACTCTCTAAAGTGGGTTAATCCAGTAGAAGACTGGGTGTATCCTTAGCAATTTGAATAAATGCCTTGTAGAGCTCAGTTATATGCTGGAGGAGTGTGAACACAGGACTAGGAGTTGGGGATTGCTGTGATATACTGGTTGCCCATTGTCAGGTCTCTGAGTCTTGCTGCCTTGGGACCCTAGGTACAATGAGAAGATCAAGTAACTGTAAAACATCACTGTAAATGGAAAGTATTGTCATTGCTGAGCATTGCTGTGGTGCTGGGAACTTGTATAGCTGCTTTGTTCCAACACAGCAGCAGCTCCTCAAAGATTGATTAGATCAAGAAATGATCACTGGGCCTTGGGCACGGGAAAATGTGAAAAAGATGTGGATGGGTTGATCTAGAGAGGGTATACCACAGCTTCCCACAGGGCTGTGGATGCAGTGTCAGGCTGAGTCTTTTAGCATGATGGTGGGTGTTAGGATGGGTTAGAGTTACAGGGTCAGACTTTTATGTGTTCTCTGGGATCTCCATTTGGGAAACACAACTTCATTAGTGTCAATGCTCATTGGTGAAACTGAGAGCAGAGCTGGGCCTGCAGCAGTCACGGCTTCTCAAGAGTCTGAATTGTTCTTGCCTAAAGCTGAGAAGTGGTGAGGCGCCATCAAGAGCTCCTTCAGACCTTTCTTACACTACACTGATAAACAGTGCACCAGGGAACCAGTACTGGGCAGATCAGAGTCTGTCCTCGTGTCACCTACCCATAATAGGACAAATTGAGTCTGATCTCTGATTCCCTTAGGTATGGTAAGTACAGCAAAGGGAGGCAATGCTGGCCTGGTCTATTGAATAGTGTTCTCAGTAATTGATCTGCTCCCTTCCCAGTGGTTCTTTTGAAGGTTGCACATGCTTTAATTATGTATGCATGTCCTGTCAATGCATATTAATTGTGTTACGCTTCTCCTCTGCAGAGGGAAACTTGCCCACGGCTGAAGTGTAACTAATGATGCCAAACCTTCTCTGGAGGCGTGTGGTTGTTTTGTTTCAATTTAGCCCTTCACCCTCCCTCATTCTCTCTTCAGATGGAGTTGATTGGACCCTGCTCTGTGCCTGTGGTTGTGATTTCCCCCACCTTCAGTTTTTGTGGCTAACCTGGTTCCTGTCTCTGGTTTTTTTGGGTGTCGCCGTCTGTGCTGTGGCCGTGTGCTCACTTGCATGCAGTTGAGGAAAGGGCCTCCGGTGCCTCCGCCTCCAAAAGTCACCCCCTCCAAGGAGATCAAGCAGGAGAACATCATCAGTCTGTTTGATGACAATTTTGTCCCTGAGATAAGTGTGACAACCCCTTCGCAGGTTAGCTGCTATGCCCTGCCTTATATTTGTCTGCCTCTGAACTTTTCCTTTTGACCTTTCTTCTCTTTGGAGCTGTCAAGCCATGAAACCTGGTCAGGTGAAGGAGGAAAGCGAGCTCAGCATTGGACCTCAGAAGGCAAACGGTTAGATAGGAGGCCAGCTTAGAGGGGACGGTGGCTAGAAGGCAGCTTTGACCAACATGTTCCCCTTTCAGAGCTTTCATTCATAGAAGAAACAGGAGAAATGCCAACTGGTAAAGATGCCAGAAAGTAATCACTGCATTTGTTCAGCAGCAGTGCACATGGATTATGGCTCCCCTCATATCCCGTGATATCTCCAGACCCACCGATCCTGGGTGTGGATGAAGCATGTGTTTTCTGCTTTTGTACATCCCCAAGTGCTAACCGTGGCATCTGTGCCAGTTCTGGGAGAAGGCAGTTCTGTGCTCTCTATGCCTTCACACGTGGGCTTTGTGGTTTAAAGCCCACACCTGCACAGGAAAGGCCAACAGGAATTGCATGAAGTTCTCTTTGCAGAGAATAGGTGCCTCCAGTTTATATGGGCAGGACTGTGCCTGTTGTGAATTCAGGACTGCTGATGCAGTCTGTCACTCTTGACTAGGCAGTGGTTCCCAACAGAGTATTTCTTTCTTGTCATGTGGCACCTTTTGAAGCCCTGAAAAAGGAAGAACATTTTCAAATTATATGTTTTTCTCTTCACTTTTTCCTTTTGATTTACATCACTGCAAGAGAGGATACCCAGATGGGGAGTTCTTTGTTGGAGCTAGGAGAATGGAAGTCCTTATGTATGTAGGAGCCTGACCAGATTTCTAGCTATATCATGAGATACCTGCATCTACTTTATATATTTTTTTTTTTTTTCTAAATGCTTGTTAAAGCGTAAGCAATGTCTCTATCAGTGTTCATCTGCAACTCATTCCCTAACTTTTCCTTACCTTATGCTGCTCCATTGCCTCTGGTTTGCTGCCTTCCACACAGCTGCTGAGGAGCAGAGGTTGAGCGGGGAGGGAAGGAAGTCCATTTCAGATTTCGCATTGCAATGGATAAAGTTGCAGAGCTTAGAGTGAGCAGAGAGATGATTTGACAGCAGTGTTGGAAGGCGGGGACCACAGGCAGCTGAGCAACTCTATCATTTTCTGTGCTTTCTTCTCCTTTATCATAATGGACAGCTCTGTCTGTCCCATGGTTTGTATCATGTATTTCCATTTGAATGCCAGCCCTTAGTCGGATGTACTCTGACCCAGGATGGGATCTGCTGTGACTTTCAATCAGATGAAAGTTCTGAGGGAGGACTCTGGTTGCCAGAACAATCTTCACTGAAGCACCTAACAGCCACTAGTGTTCAGTGTGTTGCCCAGGGCCATTCCTGTCAGATGTCTTAGCTCCAATGAGCTGAGCGTGAGGGCGCTAGCCCTTGCATGTAAGTCTTGAATGGCAGGTAAGATTATTCCATGACTGGAGCCTTTGATGTCTCATTACCAAACAAAATTAAAGATTGGGGTTGGAGCCTCTCTGATGCGCTGGAGGAGCATACTAGAATGGCAGTTGGTTTTTGCATACTGCTCAGGGTTTATTATTGTGAGACAGGAGAGCTTGGTTCCTTGTCCTCATCCGTGTGGATCTCAAAAAGAGATGTTCATAAGGGAGAGAAAAACCTGTAAGAGAATTGGAGTGAGAGGAAACTAGAGGAGGTGAAAATGATGGTGGTGTGGGTTGTATTCAGAGAACTTTCTCTTAAATGGTGTCTCTTGTTACGTTCAAGGAGTTTTTCCATTGTGGGGCTATGATATAACTGTGGAGACCAACCTGCCACACTTTGTGTGTTGTTGGAAAGGTAGCTGAAGCAGTAAGGCCAGTGAGCTGGGAGAAGCAAATCTTGCTGGGCTTCCTAAAGAGAGCAACTTCCTCTGAAGCTGAGTAGAAAGGAGTGTCTTGTAGTGGTTAGGTTAAATCTAAAAACCAAAAGTGATAGTTCAGTTTCGAATACTAATGACTCAAGTCCGTTGTAGAGACACTTTTATTAATGGTAATCAGCAAATGTGCCATCATTGCCTTTAGCTAGAGCATTAATCAGTTGAAGGGAGTTATTCTGCTGACTTTTAAGAGAGTAGCAAAGCTTCTCAAATTTATGCTTTGTTAGAAGACTCATGTGCATGTTTCTGGGATGTCCAGAAATGGAAACCGTTGAAAACAGCATTTTTTTGGCCTGGGGAGTGATTCAAATCCCTTAGCTAGCGTGAGCTGCACCATATTCTGTGTTTCTGTCTCAGAAGGCAGGAGGGAATTAGGAGCTTTGGGAGTTAGCTCTGAGGTCTCTCAGACTTGCCTTCCAGCAGTTTGAGTGGTTTTCTGCCTGGATCTATGTTCCTGAGATAAGTTGGATGGACGGCAGCTCTTCTGTATGTGGCTGAGGGAGTCTGTCCTGGGCCTTCAGTACAAAGGCAGCTGGATGAGCTGTGTGGAATAGGTATAAATCGAAGAGAAGCCCTCCTGAAGTGGCAGTGGCAGTGATCCTTTGGACCACAGCAGGTCAGGTGCTTATACCATGTCAGCTCATTTGGCCGGGTGGGAAGATGAATGACTCCTGTGGAAAAGGCTCAGGTTTGGTTTACAGTGGCACCTATGTGAACTGCCCATGATTATAGGCACCAAGCAGTCAGGAGTCACGTCAGGTGTTTGCATTGCCACCATGTCTTATGCGCTTGCAGCCTTAGCTCCTGGATATCACATACCCTCCCTCTACTGTGCACATGTGTGTATCTAATGCTCGTACTGCTTTTCTTCCTCACTGCTGCCAAGTTTGATGCCCCTGGGCCTTTCCAGGAGGGAGCCAGCCTGTTGGATCTGGATTTTGATCCCATTAAACCAGATGCCACTGTGGGGAAGACCCCCACACCTGCCTCCCAGGTTGGTTCATATCACCATTCCTTCTCCCTTCATAACTGACTTGTTGCCAAGTGTGGCGTGACCTGCACCCACGTGAACGAAAACGTGGACCTGAGCTGTGGGTGGCTGGGTTGGGTGCCCAGACCTGTGCCTTGCAGATGGGCACCTTGGTCTTCTCTGCTGGATGTGTAAGTCCAGTGAGAATCAGGTGGCTATTAGCCTGGCCACAGTCTGACATTAGGTGTCTGTGGGATGCTTGTGCTTTGCTCTGATGATCTACTGATTGACAACTCGTTCAACTTCATCTGTGTCCCTCCCTCGATTAGCATCCTCTGTATGCTGTATACTCTGTGGATTGGAATTCAGCCTCAGTTCTGGGGCCCTGCTATAAATTGCTCTCAAAGGGATTTTTAATAAACAGATACTCTGATAATCTGCAATTACTTAAGGTGAATAAAGCTGTAGACAGATATTCAAGTGATGTGAAGCCCTTCTTTTTCTGGCTATAAGATAGCCTCTGTTCATAGTTAAGAAGTAGCTTCTTCCCTGAGCATAGTGCTGCACGGTGCAGTATCAAAAAGGAAGATGCCTATTCCTGGTCTGGCCTGTTCCTGGTCCTGTCCACTGTCAGAGGCAGGTGGACTGTGCTTCATTTTATGTCTAAATGGCTGGAGGCTTTGAAGGGCATCCTGAATTTGGCTGTTGTCCTCACCAAGACTACCCATTTCATATATACAAAATGGTTATTTTTTGCCTGTGGTTGCTATTAAAATTTGTAATAAACATAATTGGGATGTTTACAGTAGTTCTCCAGTATCATCATGTCAAGTAGGCCTGTATGACACAGATTTTTGTAGCACTAAGACTGCTTTTATTAGAGAGATCAAACATTAGGCATCTGATTCTTCTAAATTAAAATACTCTATCTGTAAGATACTAGTTATTGTCATAATTTGATGCACACCAATATGGCAAGCTACCACTTTCTGGAACTTAAAGTGGGCAGATTGGTATTTTGTGTCTGTGTGCCTGACGGAACAAGCTGCATGCCAGGATAAGATTTTTTTTTTAAAAAATCTATTTACTGGGATTTATTTATTTTTTTTTCTGAATCACCAGTTATAAGTTGAGTAATTTGGCATACCTGCGTAGGATGCGAGTATAAATTTGACTTAAAATGGAATTGTTTGTTACCCTTCCACCAAGCAACAAATATTACACTGAGTGGGTTTTTCAAAACTGCTCAGCAATAGCATATTTGGTGTTTTAATGTATTTATTATTGGCTTCAGAAGTCACTAAAAGAAAGAGTCTGAAATCAATACTTTCTAATGGTAACCACAGTACAAAACTTAGTGAAAACCATCTAGTTTTCAAAGCAGTCAAATTTATTTCCTGTAGGGTGGCACTGTGGCAAAGAGGTTAAGATATTTCACTACTGATCTAAAGACACCTGTTGAAGTCTTGTTCTGAAATCATACTAACTCTGTTGGGTGTGGATATATGGGAGCATATTTAACCCTGATGAACCACAAACTCATGAGGTTTTTTTTTTTCTGGCTATGTGGTCTGCCACTGATAACTGAACATGGCTTGGCTGTCTCCTTTCATACCAGAGGTAGAAAAAAACATTACTCAAATGCCTTGGTACTTAAATTTGAATATGGAGTGGGGAGGGGTGTATAAATTCAGGTACTAAATAATATTTTTAAAACATGTAGAGATAAGTGCTGTTGAATGTGTATGTCTGCTTCAGTCTGATCAGCGTCTGTAATGTTTGTACTCACTGAAATAATCACATATAAACATGTTTTATTTTTGTTGCTCTTTGACATGCTTAGTCTTTACCTTGGGATTTATGGGAGGTAAGAACTTCATATGGCTTTCATCTCTCATCATGTACGTGCATGTGCCAGTGCCATCTGTGTGTGCATACCTGTCTCCTTTCCCTCACTGCTTTTCCTTTCTGCACACCCCAAACCAAGTTGCTCCATGTGCTGCTGAACCCACTTCTGCACCTTCTGTGAAGCCCCAGGGGCAGTCTTATGTTTGCAAGTCAGGTCTGGCACTCAGAAACTTATGTCTCCACCAGCACACAACGCTATTGCCTTTCCCTGCTAACTCACTCATCTTTCCTTTGGCATGATGCCGTGTCATTCTCTTCAACATTAATCCCACTGTGGCATCATCCTCACCCTCCACTCCCTAGTATTTCCTAAAATCTGTGCATCCTGTTATGTGTGATGCATAAATGTCTCAGCTGCTCCTTGTCTTTACTGTCTGTACCATTGGGTGTACATACCCATTTGGAATTATCTGTGGTGTTTGCTGTTCATTCACCGTTGTTGCCAGAAAGGCTAATGTGAAATAGCTCAGCCTGTGTCTACACTGAAAGTTAAGTGCAGGCCGAAGACTTACCTGGCATCTGCTTCAACCTCAGCTTTGGAGCTTGCTGACAAGAGAGAACCCTACACATGCTCTGCATCTGAGCCAAAGCCAGACCCTCATTTATGCCCTCTAGATATATTGGGCCAGGGAAGCTCTCAGACTGTTGCAGATTAGTCCACTGGGAGATATTTCAAGCACAACTACTTTTGAACCCCTCTGGACAAACAGCCACAGTGTGTACAGAAAACACTTGGTGGGGGTAGTCAATCCTGCTACTTGAGCTGGCTATATCCCGTGGTGTAGATGTTAGCACATGTCCTTGGCTTGTGCTGGGGAATTGAGTCCTGCCAACCTTTCCATTGTCAAGGGCCAGATCACCACCTAGAGTCAGTACTCGGGAGGACATGACTTAATCCTTGCTGAGAGCCTGGCCCAAGGACTCACTGTGGCTAGCGCTTTCCTTCACATGTCGAGAAACATGTTTCCCTTGTATGTTTTATCAGCCATCAGTGTTTAACATCTGTCATCCCCCTGTATGTGCATTGTCAGTTTATCTTAGAAAGAAGTCTGTGTTTTTGCAAGGAAAGATCTCGTGCCTTTCAAGTGTATAGGCAGGGGTGGGTGAGGTATGACTGTATCTGAGCTGTGCTTACAGTCTGGGTGTAAAAAGTGTTTTGGGCCATTTCTCCCATCCTGGAAACTGATTTCACCCAAGGGACAATTTAATCCACTGGGGAATGCTACTAGCCAAGATGTTCTCACCATGCCAATTCTCACCTTGGCATACCATACACAGTTAAAGAGCAGAGCTCCCTATTACTGAGGAATCTTCCTCTTGCTCTTCAAGTCTTCCTCAGTGTTTTTCCTCTAATGTTGTTCTTAGCTGTTGATGAAAGAAGACTTGTTGCATGGTTACATAGTCCCATATGCCATGAGGTTAACAACTGGAGAGAAACTTGGATGCAGCAGAACTTACTTAGTTCTGCAGACTAGGAGACTTGCAGTTGGTGTGTATGGTGCTGCTGTTGGAATAAGCAAAGCTTTCAAACCTGGCAACAGCAATGAGCAATTCTTCCTCTCCTCCCTATAGTATCTTTCCATGACTGTAAATGCTTTTATAGGCCTTGGGGTGCCCATAGGTACATAAAATAGAGAAATTAGTAGCTGACATGAAAATGCCCTTTGTTGAAATCCAGGGGATTAATTTAGATTCAATTTCTCTGGTTATTAAATACTGTTTTTGCAAATTAGCTGCTTTTAAAAAAGGAGCTCACTTTAAGCTCCTTTCCACTTGTCCACATAAAAACTGTGCTTGGCCAGATAGAGTTGGGCTGGCATCTGTCCCAGTTCCAGTTTCACTGAATCCAAATAAAAAGCAACCTGGGAGTGAATCTAATTAAATAGGAGAAGTCTTTGTAGCATTTCATATGCATACATTTACCTTAGCACTACCAAAGCTGCTGTGGGAATTTTCTGCAGGATGGGAACAGCTCTGCTGTTTATAATATCCTCTGGCAATATAGGCCTGTGGACATGGTAATGGGGAGACATGAGGAAGGATGTGATAGGAGAGGAAAGCACGTGTTAAATGGCACCATTGGAGCAGCTGAAGGTAAAGTAATAGCTTTTTGTTAAATCAAGGATTTATTTCTTCATTATTGCTGCTGTTGTCAGAAAACTACTTGGAGCATTGTGCCAGTGCATGGCGAGTAGCCAGATGGGTGTAGAGTTAAGGGTTACCATGGGCGTTGCTTTACACTGGGCTTTTGTAGGCTGGGACTATAAGAATTACAACATTAAGAAATCTGGACAATGCCTTGTTTTGAACATGGTTGTATTCAGAGGTACATGTGTTTACCAAATGTATGAGGCATGTAGGCATGCAAAACTGGTTTATTCACATGTATTAAAAATGGGAAATGTCTGTGTAGCAATCTCTACTGTGCAGGTATGAAATGGGTATCTGGTTGGATTCTGCAGAGAGGCACATGTGCTATCTGAGAACAAACAGAGATAGATTGGCCACAAGGACACTCGGGCCACAAATTAGACCCTGAGATTCTTGTCAGGAGTCTTCCCAGGTGCTGCCTGGCCAGTCTCCCAAGGGGCTGATCTGCAGCATTGATGCTACCAGATCCGACTTACTTTCTGCATTGCCGCAGTTTCTGGGAGGGGCAAATGAATATCTTTAATTTTGTGTTAAAAAAGAGTTAGCCTGACTCCAGGCAAGGGAGAATAAAAACTTGAACCACTGGAAGTGTATCAGAGGTGTTTGGTTGGTCTTCTGTTGTGCACAGAAACTCCTGTCCCCAGGCTTCTTGGAACAGTCCCTGCCAGGCAGTGATTTGGAGTTGATGCTGAATATTTTTCCCTGGTGGGAGCAGCTTTTGTGCATTAGAAACCCCCCTCTCCACCAACACAAATGTGTGCATCTGTGCACACACCATGTGGAATATTCATAGCAAATTCTTAGTAATAGAATATTCACAACAGAGTCCAAATTCATGACCCTTTGGCCCTATTGAAACTCAAATTGGATGAAAGTTAGCACAGTTTTCAGTTCAGTTTGATTCAGTACTAATGTCATGTAGATGCTGGGTCCAGACTAAGTTCCATATCTGCACACATTATTACCATGCTCTTCTGTTTCTGGGAGTATGCAAAGGCTTAAATATTCCTTGATTGTTGATCCTTGGAAGTAGCCTATTGAGAGATCCTTGTCCCTTGGCATGCAAGCAGACTTGCATTCACATACAAGTAGGCAATCTATGTGTAATAATAGACACTCTGCATGTGTAAAGTAGGTCTGCGTTTTAAATTGTGAAAAGAAAGAGGTGCACAGGATTTTTGGCCTTTCTTTGATTTCCTCTGGAGCATTGCCTGCAGCGTGGCTGGATTGAGGGAATGCAGGCTTTACTGTGCTTTCACTGGGTTGCAGAGAAAGAGGGAGACAGAAACCTAGCAATACCCTGAGGTTTCTCACCTATTTGTCAGCAGATGGCAGCAGTCAACAGCATAGAGCATTTGGACAGACTGAGCTGTACTTTTCTGCACACACATGTAGTTGTGATGAGCATAACTCTCCACCTGGATGACTTTTGTATTGCAGCCTGCAGAAGCAGCCCATGCAGGAGCTGAAGCAGCTGGATCAGAAGCAGCAGCTGGAGCTGAAGCATCTAAAACTGAAGCAGATTCAGGATCGGTAAGCACCTCCAGAGGCAGCAGTCCCTTTTCTCCATCACATCCCTTTGTCATACAGCATATGTGGGAGGCTGGGCTGGGAAAAGAGTAGTGTGGCCTCTTGGAAAAACACATCCCTGCCACTCCAGCAGTTACAATGCTCTTATTCAGAAGCCAGACTTACCCATCGCATTTTGTCTGTCTAATGCTTAGGAAGAAGCTTTGTTGGAAGATCCCCAAAAAGAACTGTCCCTTCACCCATGTTGTGAAGCCAGCCCACAGCCCATGCTGTGCTAAGCTTGCACTGTCTGCTGGATTCCTCCTTGCCCACCATTTACTTCAGCTACCCTGTTCTCTGGGCTCTGCCTGTGTCCCCTGAATACCCAGGGTTCCTCTTTTTTTCCTGACACTGCCACTTTTTTAGGGGACTGGAGTAGGTCCCATCTCATGGCCGCTTGCTTCCTATAGGCTGTCACATTTGAGTTGTCTGTTCCACAAGGGCCCTACAAAAACTGTGTTGTGACCACAGTGAATGGGAAATGCTAGGCATTGTGGTCCCAGAAAAATTAAATCCTCTCTGCCCTTCTGCAGCCTTAAGCAAAGGAAGACAGTGGTCCCCTCTCCTGCCTTCTCACTGCTGCCTCTTCTGTCCTTTGGGGTGTTTTTGTCACTGACTGGTGTGCTGGGAAAACCTGCTGAAAACATAGGTAGGGTTGGGATGTGGATCCTCCAGGGTGGACTTGGAGCTGCAATTTTGGATTCTCTTTTCTCAATGGCTTTTTTTTCCTTCCCTGGCTGCTGCTGCCTACTACTAGAGCTCTCTGCCTGCTGTTGTTGTGGAAACTTTCCCTCCTACCGTCAATGGCACTGTGGAAGGAGGTGCTTCATCTGAAAGAGCTGACATGCCCCCGGGATTTCTGTTCAAGGTGAGTGCACGATGGTGGGATACTGAGTTCCCAGTGGTTTTTTTCCTGTAATGAATTAACTACTTTCGCTCACCATGGCCATGGACTATGCCATGTTGAAAGGGAGAAAAGAAGTTGAAGGAGAGATACACCTTCCTCTCCAGCAGCCCAGCTTCACGCAGTTCCAGATGCTTCAAAGGGCTGTATAAGAGCATCAGTGTCTAAACGTCTGGCTGTGCTTTATAGCAAACCCCCTCCTTCTCTCTGCTGCAGTTATTTCTCTCTCTGGTGGTGTGGTAGTGTCAGTCACAGACTCTGGATAGTAGATAAGTTGTGCTCCGAACTGGAAAGGTTAAACTTTGATGCAAGTGGCAAACAAAGAAGAGTTGGAAACACCAGTAGGGACAGGGGACTTTGTGTTTGGGGAAATTGAAAAGCCAAGATGAACAGGGATATAAATATAGAATTAGACAGGGAAGTCTGGTGGGTGTTCTGAATATGCTAAAGATCACTTGCAGCTTGTTTCGAAGGTGTGGAGGAAGGAAGTGATTCTGGGTGAGGATAGGCCACAAATTTAATGTACATAATGGAATATGGTAGCAAGACAACACAGATGCATCATGCCCTGAAAGTGAGAAATTACAGTCTCCTGCTATAGGAATGCTTTTCTTCTCCTATAGTTACACCCATGCATCTTTTTTTTTCTTTTTTTTTTTCCTGGGAGTTCTACCAAAAGCAGAAGAGTGACAAAACCCTGAAGAACAATAGGAGGCTCATCACATTTAGACTGGTTACAGGCAGCATTATAGACTGTAGTGCTCAAAGTGGAGAGCTGCGATTTGAAGTAGAAAAGCTGTAATGTAGATGTTGATAGGAATTAGACTGAATACCAAAGACAAAACATGGCAGGATACAATCACTCGAAGATCCAAACTGATACTCTTACCTACATTTGCTCTCCCTGCTTGCTCTGACAGAGATGGGAGGCTATAATCTCTAATACTCTTGCAGTCCAGCTGCAAAAAGAATACAGGGCACCACTCGAGTGAATACAGGCTTTCTACCCTGTGATGTTTTTAGGCTCATACCATGGGAATTCAACCCTCCTAAGGAAGGATGGGGAGGTGCTGATGCATAACAAGTTAAATGAGACTCACCAGGATGCCCTTGTGGCACAGGTGAGCTGCATGCCAGGCTGTATGAACAAGCATGTAGCCATTAGATTAAGGGAAGTGGTTGTTCCGATAGATGTGGCATTTGTGATCTAAGCTTGCCCTGCCTTGAGCAGCAAGTTGGGTCAGATGGTCTCCAAAGGTGCCTTCCAACCTGAATCATCCAGTGCATCAATGAAGTGGAAAGCCTTGTCATGTGTTACAGAGCTGGGTGAGAGAAGGCTGGCCTCACCCAAGCTCTCCTGTCCTCTCCCCATAGGTCCAGGCCATGCATGATTACACGGCCACCGACAGTGACGAGCTGCAGCTGAAGGCTGGGGATGTGGTGCTTGTGATTCCATTTGAGAACCCTGAGGAGCAGGTGAGTGGGGAAGACAGGGTGTGAGCCTGGGCTGGGAGAGGAGCAAGGGGATTTCCAGAGCTGCTTCTTCCTCCACTAACAGTCGGCTGGCTGGATGCAGAGCCATCAGTTTGTGGCCGGGAGCTGGCGGGAGAGCCGGTTGTCCTTGAGCTTGAGATTGGCTTCCTGCAACAGAGGGGAGGACTCTGCTTGTGATTGGAAAGTGGAGACATTATCCTGCATAAAGCATGTGAAATAGCCATGGCTTCCTGTCCCTATCAGGACATTTGAGCCATTACAATGGCTTCCTTGATCAGGGAGCCCAACAGAGCCCATACTTTGCCTCCTCATTGCTCCTAAACTTGATTCACATTCCCTGTGACCACTGCAGTGCAGACTGTGGCATTGGCAGGAGTGACCCACAGCTTATGATGATGTTTTCTCCCCTTTTGAGAAACACTGGAGCTCTGAGAAGGCAGCTTGCTGTGAATGTCTTGCACTTCAGCATAGCAATGGCTATTTCCAAAAGACAGTGTTTGGTCAGGAGATGGCAGCAGAACCAAAGGCTGGAGCAGGTTGCTCAGCTCCAGAGAACAGTCTTACTGTCCATCTCCAACCTGAATTTAATTGGCCATGTTTTTCTTTAATCTGAGCTATTTCTAGGAGCCTTGAGTAAATCCTCCTTACTTGCTGTGTTTGAGGGCTTCCAGCTGATAAAATCTGCAGCAGTTTTACTACTTTGGCTGAGGGAGGTGGTGATTTTATAAAATCCATGCTCACATCTCCAGGTTTTTGTTTGGAAAAGGTAGGGAAATCTCCAAATTTATTCAGTAGTCACCAGCTATTTGGGTTTGGCCAAGCCCAGACAAGATCTGGATTCACAAGGGGTAAAGGGAGGGTCACGTAGTTCACTGACCACAGAAAATATGGATCCTCTTTGTCGTTCAGCTGTTGGCTTTGTGAATTATGGAGGCAGATCTTGCTGCTGCTTGTGAAATGGGAGCTATAATGTGCCAGCAGTTCCTATAGAGCTAGGTGCTCTTGGGGGAAGGGTTGTGTGGGGAAGAGGCAGTGATCCCTTCTGGAGATAAGACTTTTCACTGAGTGGGACTGCCCTGCACAAGCATTTGTGAGCATTTCTTTCTCAGAAAACTTTCTGGATGGGAAATGAGTGGCAGCTCCCCTAGTTTCTGTGGTAGGAGATGGCATTTGTGGAGCAGAGTTTTTCAATGCCCTATGTTTGCACTCTAGCTGGATGTGGGTGCAACAGCCATGAACTTGAGACTCTCCAAGCTGCAGAGGGTGAGCTCTGAGTGTTGCTAACATGATGCTGTAGCTGCACTGAAGCCTTCTAACCTTCCTACAGTGTATCCTGTGCTAGAGCTCATTTCCCTAACCTCTACCATACCCAGCCAGAAAATGTTGGCTGTTAACATGTGCATGAACTGTGCACGTGAGTGGAGGAAGCTTAGGATAGTAGACTATGATCCATGTCCCCATCTTGCAGCTTAGGTGTCAGTTTGTGGGTACATCAGCCAGGCCTAGATTCATTTCTCTTGATGGAAGAAAGGGTTGAGGGCAGCAATGCTTTTAAGCTGGCACTTCAAGTGATGTGGTTCAAAACTGGCAAGGGTCGATCTGTGTCCTCGTGTCTAATCCTTATAGCTGAGGAGACCCTTCATAGCAGGATGCAGTGGGAGTGATGCATGCTGTATGGCACAGACGCTATGTGCAAATGGATGAGCTTTTATGCTTGCCGTGTTGTGAGCTGGAAGCTGCCTTCCAGACACTTGGGCCCAGCGTCTTCTGCCTAGTCGTTTGTCTTCCTGATTTATGGCATGTCAGTCCTTCCGCAGCCCCTGCAGCTGGCTGCTGCAGATGGGCTCCCGTCTCATGCCATTCCCATGACATCCCCTGAATGCTCAAATCTAAGGCAGCAGCAAGGGCTAACTGAGCCTGCAGGCACTCAGTACAGCCTGCAAGGAACAGGGAACTCTGATACAGTGGGTGGTCTGAGCTCCTGCCACATGAAACGTGCAGAAAACAGGACAAGAGGGTAGAAGCTGCAAAATGGCAGCAGAAGGCGATACGTGCACCATGGATTGTTCCTGGTGAGGGCTGCATCGCTCCTGTACTGCACAGGTATGTTTTTAAAGAACATGTTTCAAGGGAGACATTGCTTGGCCTTGGGTAGATACCCAGGTAACTCCTGCCACTTCCAGGAAAGCAGAAGTGTCAGAACAGCTGTGTGAACCACACGGACACATGCCCCATTTCCCCACAGCTTAGAGCATCTGGTTGTCTGAGCATTTCTGCCCTGGCAGGTTATGTTGTTGAATGGGATAACATATCTCTAAATGAGCCTGGTGCATGCTTTGCCCAGAGGAGTGGATGCAGAGCAGGCTGTTGAGTTTGGAGGCAGCATTTCCCCATGCAGCTCTCTTGCCTCATGCTGCAGCCTTAACCCATAGGCTATCCCACTGCAAATGACTCACATGAGTGGGTGTATTTGCATGCTGAAGGGGTGCTTCCATGGCGGCAGCTCCAAGGCATGCAGAGAATAGGGTGTTCGCACACCTGAGCTGCAAGCAGTGCAGCCTTCCCACCTTGAATATCTCGTCTCCCTCGTGTGTTTCAAATGGAGCAGAAATCTCCACGCTAGATAACCTGCAGGCAGAGGGTGGGAAGTCTGGTTCTCCTCCTGAGCAGGTTCTACCAAGCAGGACTCCATTTGCCTCAGTGAAAATTCATTCCTGTTTATAGATGTATAAGTTTGGTGGCTAGGGAGGACTCTTGTGAGAGACCTTGAGCCTTACATCATGTGTAGCACAAGTTTGGGAGTTTTGCCAACCTCACCTTGCATCAAGCCCAACAGACTAGTGGATTTTGGGAAGATGGGTTGAGCATCTTGGCTCCCAATTCTCATAGACCAGAATTTCAGCATAGCAAACAAGACTTATTTTGCCTGTACCACCTCTCTAAAATGCTAATCATCTAGGTGCCCTGACTGGAACAGGGGATGAGCACCTCCAGGGAATAATTCATCCTTTCCAAAGACCCGTGCCCAAGATAAATGGGATGAATCACACTGTGGAGGTGCCCGTCTCTTTTATGACTATAGAGAATGCTAGACCCCTCGTGTTTAGATTGTGAAAGGCGAGATAGGTGATTCCCATCCTGTAGCTCTAGAGACTTTCTTTGGCAGAATTTTTCCTGCTTTGGTGGGTGTAAATTATGATATGTTTCTATTACACTTGCTAATTGTTTACAATTTCACTGTCTCTAGACACTCTGGGTCAGATAGGAGTTTTGGTACAGACTCCGGGATGTAGCCATCTCCCTGTTTAAAAGGGAACGAAAGCATTTTTTCCTTCTCCTCCATCCTCTTCCTGGATTGTCTCCAAGCCAAATATGAGCATGGCTTTGATAGTGCCTTGACACCTCCTTGGCCTGCACACTGAAAGAAAAATCCCCACTCACATCTATCCCTCAGCATCTGATCTCTGTCTTCTCCTCCAGGACGAAGGATGGCTGATGGGTGTGAAGGAGTCTGACTGGATTCAGCGTAAGGAACTTGACCAATGCCGAGGGGTTTTCCCAGAGAATTTCACAGAGCGGGTGCAGTGAAAGCCCAAGCCCACCAGCCGCATTTCTGCTGGAAGAAAGCAAGTTTTCTGGTAGATAATTGAAAAAGAACAGCGGAATGAAAAGAAGAGAGAATTTTAAAGGAACAGAAGCCTGAAAAAAAAAGTCAACTTAAACAGTGTGTTCTTCTCAAAGGGCAAGGTTTCAGAAGTAAATTGAAATTGAAAGTGTTATCAAAATATATACATATTAATAATAATAAGGCAAGTCAAATACCCTCTTCCGCCTTTGGTTTTAACAGCATTTGGAATCAGAGGACTGATGCAGAAGCAACTGAGTGTGGTTCTCTAAATACTGCATTGACTTAATTGGCGAGATGTCAGTTTGATCCCTGGAAAGGCAGTATTTGTCTAATGGCTTGAGAGTAGAAAGCTGCATTTGCTCTTGGGTGGGTTCATCTGTTTTGTCTTGAAGGTGGCTTGCATGGCAACCATAAAAATTCAGCCTTCCCTATATGTTCAACCTACAGTAGGCCAACCTTTCTGTTATGCTGTTGAAAAAAATATTTAGTGTATAGTGTTCACCAATACAATGTATGTGTGTGTGCGTTTGTGTGTATTTTATTTTCTTCCTTTAAAACAATGTTACGCAAACTGTGATTTTGTACAGACAGAACAAACAACATGGAAAGGGCATGGAGAAGATGAAATGTATGAAGCTGTGCTCAGTCCAAAGTTCTTTCAAATGCGGACACCTAAATTCTTGCAGTAGTATTGGCCTGTGAAATACTAAGGGGAATGGACAAATACAAGAGGAGAAACAAGACAAAACAAGCAGATGCCATTTAGATGGCTCTGAAATTTAGAAGAGGGAATCCTCTGCCCCCCAAACCCTGTAAGCGGTTTCAGAAAAACTTAGATTCATGTAGATGGAAGATAGCTCTAAAATCTGGCTGGTTAGAAAATTTGCTTTTAAAAAAAGAGATAAGGGAAGAAAATTTTTGTTCTGAAAGAATGTCTAAGAAAAAACACTGAGGAAAAAACAATTTGCTTTCTGTGGTTTTAGTTGGCTTTGTTATTTGTGGAATTGTATTTTTTATTTTCCTTTGAAGAGTTCTGTAAGTGAAATACTGTTAGATCAGCTTTCTCCAGTGCTGTGCTGGTGATCAAGTTAACCTCTACAAAAACTGGACTCTTGAAATACTCATTTAAAATGGCTGCATGACTTCATGATATTTTAATGCATTAGAAAGGAAGGCAAGAATATCAAAGTGTCAGTGTCAAGAAGACACTGCAGTCTAATACTGACTGAGACCTTTCCTATACCTTTCCTTTGCTCCTGTTTGTTTTTGAGTTTTTTTTTAGTTTAAACAAGCAGATGACAAGGCTGTTTCAAAGTGCATATTACACTTGTTAAAATAAGCCCATCTGACCCTCCAAGACCCTAAAGTCCCACAAAGGTACTTTAAACTTTACTTGAATACTGACGCAGCTGGCAAGCAGGTCGGGCTATTATCACTTTTTTATGGCTTTCCCCCTGCGCCGCGCCCCACCCCACCCCCCGATCTTTTTGCCTTGAAGGGATTTTTAACAGTGAGGTTACCTCCTGCTGTAAAGGGACAACAGGATCACTCTCTGAAATAATCTTCCTCACTGTTAGGAGCTGGCTTTTGTCAAAGATACGTGGAATGCTGACACACACTACTGAAAATCTCACCTTTTCCAATCTGCTTTGATTATTCGTAGGACAACAGAAAAAACATTGTAGGGCAAAATGTTGTTTGGTTTTTTTTTTACTTCAGAAGGACAGATCAGATTTTGATTAGAGAATATATTCTTATATATGCAAGATTTGCTGGAGTTCCTCCTGCCTTCAGCTTGGGAGATGGTCTGTGCTAGTTATTTACAGCAATGTAACAGGCATCAAAATCTGTCCTACATGCCCAAATCCCTTCTCTTATTTTTCTGGGGTTTTTTTTGGTTTTGTTTTTGTTTTAAATAAATGTGCAGAAATTTACATTTTACATCGCTGTTACAAAACCCAATAGTATTTAGGAGTAACTGCTCACAATACAGAAGGACTGGCCTCCACAAGCTACAGTATGGTGAGCTGTTGCTTTAGAATACTGCCCTGTCTGATTCCCCCCCGCCCCGGGGTTGTCTTTACTATTACTTTTTTTTTTCCCCCAAAATATCTATTTTTATGCATTTGTGACTCCCATTTAAAGAATATTCATAGAAAAATTATACATAGAAATATATATATTAAAAAGCGGGTTGATCCAATTAACATAATGTTGTCAGCTTAAAATGTTTATTTTTATGCAAAACCTGTGGATTATTGTTTGTTTGTTTTTTTTTTTAAAAAAAGACAAGATTCTAAGCACCAGAGCTGTGATTTTTTTTTTGTCTTGCAAGTAATTGTTCTAGAGCATTTAGAAGGCTGCGCTGATAGCTAATTTATTGTGGGTTCTTTTGCTGTTGTTGTTGTCTTCTGCTGTGTTTGAACCAGATGACTGTTCCAGCAAAGATCCCCGTAAGGCCTTTTCATTTTATTGAGCTTGCAAAGCAACTATCCAGTACTGTATTGTCCCTGCAGAAGTGGCAACACTCTGCAAAAAAGGGATGTTGTTTTCAGGTCACATGAGTGATGGTCAAATATTGCTAGTGGGAAGGATGTTGCATCCCTCTCCATTTTCTTTCCCCCAACCCAAAAATCCCAACCCCCAAGGCCCCTTGCTTTAGAGCAGGTAGGGTGGGTTACCTGGATCTTGCATTGCTCGCAAATAAGTGGTGTCAGCACATCTCAGATTCTGAAAATGCAAGATAGGACCCACAGTTTATAAATTGCCTTATATGAGAGTAGGATGATATAGCAGGAAGCTTGTAGATGGCAGTGTTTTCTGGAGCCAGGAGATCTCTTATCTCCTGGATCATGTTCAGCCCATTGTAAACAGCCACAACTTATCCCATTTTCAGTATTTTTACATCTGCTAAATACCTTGATTCTGGTAGGTATTACCTGGTGAAATGAACTTCCCATTTTCTTTGGCTTAGGATTGATTCAAATAGAAAGAGGGACAGTAAACTCCTAAGTAGGCTGTGCCCACAGTGGTTTTTCAGTTTGCGGGCTGAACTGAAAAACCTGGGGAAAAAAGTTGTAAGGGTTACCTGCAGTTGTAAGGGGGGTGACCTGACACTTTTTTTTTTTTTTTTCCATTTTCTCAGTGGAATGAAAAAGGGAAAAATTGAAACATTAAAAAAAAAAAATCCTTTCAAACCAAACCGAAGCATTCATTTGTAGGTTTGCTTTTTCACTTTTTTAAAAACATTACGACTTGGGCTACAGTAAGTTGCTTTGAAGCAAAGATGTGAAACCTTCTGTTTTGAAAATGCTGAAAGAAAATGTTTTAATGTTAATAGGTTTTTTGCCTTTGCCTTTTTTTCTTAATCTGATGACTGGTTTCAGTTAACCCTAAACTGCATTTTTTGGTGAATACATTATCCACTGAAGAGAACCCAAAGAAGCCTATTGCTCAGTTCTGCTCCACTGACAGGTACACTGGACACATTTTGGGGATTACCTGGTATCTGGCCCAGCAAAGCTACTGTTTCCCCATCTAATAATTTTCCACTTGATTATTTTACTGGGTGAACAATAAAAGCATCTCTCATCCCATGCCATTGACTGGTTTTGTAGCCTGGCTTAGAAAGACATTCTTGCTCTATCGGTCTCAGTTTGGTCACAGATTTATGACTATAGATTTATGATGCTACTCCAATTTGAGCCTAATCCCATTGTGCAGTGGGAATTATCATTTCCCCAACTGATAAGAAAGAAATAAGGCATTGCTTTTTCTCCCTTTTTCTATCTTAGCAATGTCAGTAATATATCTTTATTAGACAGAATTAGGGAAAGGTCCCAGGGTAAAGATGAATGTGTTGTTCCAGGCGAGACCCCTGCATACTCTGTGCTACTTTCCATGGGCATTCCTCAACTGTCTGCTTTACCACCTTTGCGTTTCTTGGCTGTGAAGGTGATGCAGTAAAAGGGATTGTGCAGGCTTCATTCCAGCTGCTCGGGGCTAGTCCTGCTTTGTGATCTGTTTGCCACAATCCTTGAGGCTTTGTTCACAGTTGCAGAACCCTTTCCTGTCCCACTATCCAAAGACTGTGGCCAAGGCAAACACCCCCAAGTCAAAAGGTTGTCTCTTTTATGACCTGGAGCACGTGTGAGGGCTCCATATTCTGCCTGAAGTTGGGATGTCAGCTCAGTTAAGTTTTGCAATAGCCTGTTGAAGGGAAAAGGCCCAAGGCTAAGGAGATGCTGGGGGAGGATGGAGGGATGATACGTTATCTTCTTCATTTTGGGTTGATGTGCTGACTGCCTCACCTCTTGGTTCCAGGGAGGTCCAGAACCTCCTTATTTAGGGCTGAGAACAAAATGTGAGTGGTCAAGATGTGCATAGTCAATACAATAACAGGTCTCTCTCTCTTGCAAAGGACGCTGAGTTCAAGAGTTTCCTCTTTCCTGCGCTGTGCCAGACAGATTGAATGCTCTCTGCCACTATTGTAGATGTTTTGGATGCTGTGTAGTCCATACCCCAAAACAGTAAATATCCTTTGCTGGAGGATGCAGAGGTGTCTCAGCCCTTTCTAGAAGGAGCTACTGATCTTCCACAGACAAGGCCTGGGTGCTTCTAGCACAGTAGCCTCTCTGTCTTTCAGCATCTGGCGCCACTCTCCAGCTCCTCCTGTTTACCAGCCTCTCCCATGCTCTTTGAGGATGACGGTAGCATAGGGCTCTTCCCACCAGCCTAAAGTGCAAAGCTAGAAGATGCACAAATGTGTCCATCAGCAAATCCTATGCAGTGCAGCTTGATAATGCTGGTATTGGGGAAAACAGCTTTTCTTCTCTGGGCTGCCAAAGGGAAGCTATTCCTTGCCACACAGGTACTATCACACCTGGCACTGATGCAGACATCTCTTTTCTTGCATGCTCTGGTTTAGACATTTCTGAGTAGCAAACTCCTGATGGAAAGGGGTCCTGTGTGGTGCCCAGGGCTGGATTGTGCCACTAGCCCTTGCAAAGCTTGGGGTCTGTAGCTGACACACAGGGGCTGAGAATTAGAAAGCCATTTCAGAAATTTTGTTTATGAAACTAAATGGAGAAGCTACAGCTGTGAAGACTGGTCTGTATGAACTTGTACTTTGATGTGTCTTATGGCTATAATTCCTTCACCTGTTTTTACAGCTTATTCTGCCAGTCCTGTCCCTAGTCTGCATTTCATGTAGATGGTCCCTACTTGAAACTTGCCAGATGCAGTCCTGGGCTTATTGCTTCTCTTTAACTGAATCAAATGGCAACGACTTTGGCAATGTGTTTGCAATCTCTTTTCCTTCTGTTAATTCAGTCTCTGAGTTTAACCACAATGACCTGAGAAATGTTTGGGTTTTGAGTGTTTTTTTAATTATTTTAATTTTTGTTTTGTTTAAACAAAGCTGAACAATTTCTGTTGTATTCAGAGCTGTGACGCCCAGTTCCAGTGACAAGTACTAGATGGATTTGTCCCATTTTGTTTCTTGGCAATGTTCAGAAATATAATTTGTGTCATCTTAAGTTCTGTGTCAGTTTCTCTCTTTCTCTCTCTCTCTCTCTTATTTTTTCTTGCCTTTATATTAAGA